ACCTGGATAAGGAAGGGGTCTCAGGGGGAGAGTGCCTGAGGGGAGGGAGAATAATCTTTCCATGAAGGAAAGCTTTGTGAAAGACGAAACTCTTGGGCTGGATTCCATGGGATAAATAGGAATGTTTTGTGTGAATGAACAGGAGGCAAAATCATTTTGGGCAGAGAAAGAACAGCTTTGAAGTTGGGGAAAGGGCAGGTGTTTGCATCGGGCTGGAGTGCTTTTGGGCTCCAAGAGGCTTGGAGGGGATGGCTCTGGGCAACAAGACTGGAAGATAAAGGCTCATCTCTAGCTTGAGATCACAGAGAGCCACATGTGCCCAGCAGTCGCTGGATGCCACCTCTCAGCCTGGCCATCAGCCTCCAAAACCAACAGTTGGGAGTACAAGAAAGGGCAGGCACAGACTAAAGGTAGAAACAAGAGGCCTGTCTTAGACCTGCCTTTACGAAATTGAATTCATTCATGCAGGGTTGCAGATTCCAGCAAACAGTGGGCAGTTATAAACCAGGGGCTGGGACCTCAGAGAGAAAGCAGTCAGGGTCATCCCTGCTTCTAGGCAGCTCACAGTCTGGTAGGCTAGTGGCCTTCACTGAAGACAGTTTGGACAACTGCTCTATGATGCTTTACTTTGTTTGTTAGCTGATTTTCTTCTTCCTTTTTTTCCCCCTGAGACAGGGTCTCACTCTGTCACCCAGGCTGGAGTGCAGTGGTGGTGATCATGGCTCACTGCAGCCTTGACTTCCTGCCATCTCAGCCTTCCAAGTAGCTGGGACTACAGACACAAGCTAGCTAATTTTAAAACTTTTTTGGAGAGACAGGGTCTCACCATGTTGCCCAGACTGGTCTCAAACTCCTGCTCTCAATCAATTCTCCCATCTTTGGCCTCCCAAAGCACTGGGATTATAGGCACAAACCATCACACGTCACCCTGATGCTTTACTTAGAAGAGAGCTCTGCTAAATTGCTGTGGGGGCAGTTACAGGTTTGAGGGGACTTTTAAACTGTGTCTTGATAGGTGAGTAGAAGTTTACGGGGTGGGGGGGTTAGTGGAAACAGCAAGAGGAAAGAACATGTGAAAGGCCAAGGGTGTTTGGGGACCCTGCTTTGGGAATATGGGGTTCATTCAATCACTTAGCAAAGACTTACTGGTACCTGTATGCCAGGAGCTATGCTAGGCACAGGATATGATGAAGCAGGTGCCTTCCACCCTCACAAAGCTTATGCTTTAATTTCTCCGTACCTCAGTTTCTCCATCCTAAAAGGCTTACCACACAAAGCTTTAGTGAGGGGTGAACAGAATAATTTATGTAGGCAACATACAGACAAAGGCAGCTAGTGTCACCCAGGTGTACAGGAAATGCTCACTAAACACTCCATGAGAATCTAGCTCTGAATTAGCCTGCCAGGGACTCACTAGATAAGAGGTTTGTTTGATGAAGGAATGAATGAAAGAATAAATGCTATGTGCACTATGTGCTTTGCACACATTTACTATTTATAGCATTCCTGTCAGTAAATATTATTTGTCTCTATTTTACAGCTGAGCAAGCAGAAGCTTCAGGATGCAAAGTGCCTGGTCTAATATCCCAAGGCAGGAAGTGACAGAGAAGCATCCAGATTCTGCTGCCTGGAGGCTCAACTTCAGGGTCCAAGCACTTAACCATGTCACACATTACTCCTCCTGTCAAGGGAGGGTTCCAAATGTCCCAAAGGAAAGCACTGGAAAGCATCCAAGAACCTCAAGGGATTTTGCCCAACCCTCCTGCCAGCTGGGATGGCCTCAAAGGTTATCTGTCAGGTCAGGGAATCTGATGGTCAGTCTGCCTGGGGCAGAGGAAACGAGATGTCATTCCTCACCTGGGAAAAGGGCACTTCTGGTCTTATATGAAAGAGATCTTAGACTAAGGTCTTTACAAAGTGAGGGTGATTATTAGCCTCGATCCTAAAAAAGCAATAGAGATTCAGGTTCTTCCAGGGACAGTGCCAGAGCCCAAGAAAGTTCAGAGATGGATGAGTTTTGTCAGACAGTTGCTTCTGCAGATCAGAGAGAAATTCCAGGCCTCCACAGGGCTCTAAGCCAATACACATCAGAAATGAGCTCTGTCTGCAACTGCTGGACCCTGGGAAAGGCAAGACTTATTTGAGAGTTTAAAAAAACTCTTAGTACAAGGCACATTTTCACTCCTCTACTCTGGGAAAGCAACAGGTTTGGGTGACAAGCAAACTGATCCTTCACATAGTGGCTGTTTCCACTTGTGAATCGGTGGCTTTGGCAAATTATCTGAGCTTCCATTTTCTTATCATCTCTGAAGTGAGGATAAGGATAAAATCAATGCAATGACTAGCAGAATGTCTAGTGCATTCGGTGCTCAATAAATGTTAGCTATGGTTATTATTCATTTTACCTTAAACAGTTAGTGAGCACCAAGTGCCATATAGTGTAAGAGACATGTGACAAATAAAACCTTAGCCCTTATTAAAAAAAAAACTTCTGGGCCAGGCACACTGGCTCACACCTGTAATCCCAGCACTTTTTGGAAGGCTGAGACAGGTGGATCACTTGAGGTCAGGAGCTCGACACCAGCCTGGCCAACGTACTAAACATACGAAAAGTACAAAAAAATTAGCTGGGCGTGGTGGTGCATGCCTGTCATCCCAGCTACTCTGGAGGCTGAGGTATGAGAATTGCTTGAACCTGGGAAGCAGAGGATGTAGTGAGCCAGACTGTGCCACTGCTCTGTCTCCAAAAAAAAAAAAGAAGCTTCTGGTCTAGTATGAAAGCATGTCTTCTCTTTTTTCTTCCCTCCCCAGTCTCATTGGGTAAGGCTGCTCTGAGCTGAGCTGAGCATGTTTAAACAGGGACCAGCTACACACGAGGCCACGTGGCGATTTGGGAGACCTGGGTTCTGAAACTGGAGTCACTGAGTCTGACTCCCGCACCTCCATCTGGTTGTCTGTGCCTTCCCTGTGCTGCCGTCCTTGGAACCTGAGTCCTTGCCAGAGGCTCCCACAGCACTAACCACAACCTGTCATCATTGCTTTTGTATGTGCATAACCTGAAAGAGGGTGCCTTCTGCCTCTGGGAAGGGCTCTGCTGCAGAGGGCTGAGGCTGAGTCCCTAGTGAGTCTCCAGGCTGGGGAAGTCAGATGACAACCATGAAGCACACACAGTAATACCCACGTGCATCATCCTCTACAATGGCACCAGGTTTTAGAGATTGTACTGCCTTTTTACATTCATTTTGTTTAATCTACATGGGAGGAGTAATCTCTAGATATGTTTTGCAGATGAGGGAACTGAACGTAGGGAGGTGGTTTACAAACAATAGCCCTAGCCCATGAGGGTTCCCAAAGTTGGCTGATAATTCACTGGAGGGCCGAGCACAGTGACTCACACCTGTAATCCTAGCACTTACAGAGGCTGAGGTAGGCATATCACTCAAGGTCAGGAGTTCAAGACCAAGATGGTGAAACCCTCATCTCTACTAACAGTACAAAAATTAGCTAGGCATGGTGGCATGTGCCTGCAATCCCAACTACTGAGGCAGGAATTACAGCTACTGAGGCAGGAGACTAGCTTGAAGCCAGGAGGCAGAGGCTGCAGTGAACTGAGATCATGCCCCTGCACTTCAGCCTGGATGACAGAGATCCTGTCTCAAAAAAAAGAATCACTGGAGTGTTTGTTAAATATGTGGATGGTCACGCCCTCTCTCCAAATTCTAAATCTGAAGGTCTGGTTCTGGACTTGAGAATCAATAGTGCGGTGGCTCACAGCTATAATCCTAGCACTTTGGGAGGCCAAGGTGTTTCACATTTGTTGCCCAGGCTAGAGTGCGATGGTGCAACCTCAGCTTACTGCGACCTCTGCCTCCCAGGTTCAAGCGATTCTCCTGCCTCAGCCTCCCAAGTAGCTGAAACTAAAGGCGCCAGCCACCACACCCGGCTAACTTTGTTTTTTTAGCAGAGACCGGGTTTCACCACATTGACCAGGCTGGTCTCAAACTCCTGACCTTGTGATCCACCCACCTCAGCCTCCCAAAGTGTTGTGATTATAAGCATGAGCCACTGTGCCTGGCCTAATTTTTTTTAAGAGGCAGGGTCTTTCTATGTTGCCTAGGCTGGCCTCAAACTCCTGGCCTCAAGCGATCCTCCAGCCTTGGACTCCCAGTGTGTTGGGATTACAAGCATGAAGCACCACACCTGGCCTGAGTTATTTACTTAAAACAGATTCTTTGAGTTTCAGCGATGATAATGCTATGTGCTGTGTGACAGCAGGATGAAAAAGACAGTTCCAGCTTTAGGAAACCAACAGGTTGTTCAGGGCTCGTGTGGTGGGCAGTCCAACTCTTCTGAATTGTAGGTGAGGTCCCCAGCTAGGTGGGATAGCCTCCTCCCCTAGGACAGAGGACAAAGGCTTGGAGCTCCTAGTTGAGCCCGCTGGGCCTTTTTCCATTCTCTAACACCTGCTTGGTCGCACACTATGGTTCTTTTGTTGTTGTTTTGAGAAAGAGTCTCACTCTGTCCTCAGGCTGGAGTGCAGTGGCATGATCTAGGCTCACATCACTGCAACCTCCACCTCCCGAGTTCCAGCAATTCTCCTGCCTCAGCCTCCCGAGTAGCTGGGACTATAGGTGCCCACCACCACGCCCAGCTAATTTGTGTATTTTTAGTAGAGACGGGGCTTCTCCATGTGGGCCAGGAGGGTCTTGATCTCTTGACCTCGTGAACAAGAATTGGAAATAAATCAGAGGTATGTGAACAGAAACCAACACTCACTGGGGCTTGCCTCACAAAGTTCATATTACAAAAGGAAGTAGAAATGCTAAAGTCTCTCACTTTCTAAACTACAACAATGGAACTAATGACTGCTATTTTTGGTTTTCCCCTCATATATAAAGCAGAATCCCCGGTTTTCAGAAAATGACGGAACAGGGTCCTGCTTCAGGCTTAGAATACAAGTGGGAGAGGAACACAAAGTCAGAGATAGGTTTTGCTCTTACGTGCACAGTAGCTTCATTGGCGGTGTCCCAGGTGCGGATGGCATCGGCGGCGCTGTCAGGTCGTCGGGGACGTCTGCGGTGCGGTTGGCGCGTCGGCGGTGTCTGTGCTGCGACGGAGGTGTCCGAGGCACTTCAGGGGCGTCACACACGCAGATGGCACCTGCGGTGAGGTCAGCGCATAAGGAGTGTCAGCGGCGCGGTAGGCTCTTCGGGTACGTCAGCGGCGTTGGCGGCGTGATCCGCGCCAGGGGCGTCCAGAGAGTGTGTGGCGTAGGCAGCATGTTCGGCGCGTCAGTCACGTTAGCGGCGCGACGGCGGCGTCTACGGTACTTCGGCGGCGTCCCAGGAGCGGATGGCATCGGCGGCGAGGTAGGAGCATCGGGAAGGTCGGCGGTGCAGTAAGCTGGTCCGGGGCATCCAAGGCGCGGTCAGCGGTACGGCGGCTTCCCAGCCGCTCACAGTGTCAGTGCCGTCGGCGGCGCGGTTGGCGCGTCACTGACGTCAGTGGCGCGAAGACAGCATCTACGGTGCGTCAGCAGGTCCCAGGCGCGGATGGCATCGGCGGCGTGGTCGGTAGTGCAGTAAGCTGGTCGGGGCATCCACGGCGCAGTCAGCGGCTTCCCAGCTGCTCACAGTGTCAGCGCCGTCGGCGGTGCGGTCAGCTCGTCGGGTGCGTCAGTGGTGTTGGTGGCGCGATCTGCGCCTGTGGCGTCCAGAGGGTCTGTGGCGTTGGCAGCGTGGTCGGCGCGTCAGTGATGTCAGCGGCGACACGACAGCGTCTACAGTGCGTCGGCAGGTCCCAGGCGCCGATGGCATCGGCGGCGCGGTCGGCGGTGCAGTAAGCTGGTCGGGGACATCCAAGGCTCGGTCAGCGGTTCGGCGGCGGCGTCCCAGGCACTGACGGTGTCCGCGGGGTCTGCGGCGTCCGCGGCACGGTCGGCGCGTCGGGGGCGTACACGCCGCGGTCTGCGTCGTGGGTCTCTGCAGCGCGAGACGTCCGCGGCGCAGTGGGCCCCTCTGCGGCGTGAAGGCAACTTCCGAGGTGCGTCGCCGGCGTCCCATGCGGGGATGGAATCGGCGGTGCAGTACCCGCGTCGGGAATGTAGGTGGCGCGGTAGGCTTGTCGGGGGCGGCCGCAGAGCGGTCAGAGGGTCAGCGGCGTCCCAGGCGCTGACAGCGTCTGTGGCGTCGGTGGCGCGTCACCGTCCGCAGCGTTTAGAGGGTCTGTGGCGTCCGCGCGTCGGGGGCGTCCAGAGGGTTTGTGGGGCGACAGCGGCGTCCGAGGCGTGGTCGGCGCGTCGGTGGTGACTGGGCATCAGCGTCGAGGTAGGCGCCGGCCGCGCATCGGAGGCGCGCTAACTTAAGGTTTACCAGGACGTCCACGCAGCGTTTCCGAGGTGAGTGCCGCAGCCGAGATCTGCACTCAAAGTGTAAGGTTTAGTAGGAAGTCAAGGTTTAGGGGGAAGTCAACACAGCCTTTCTGAGGTGAGGGCACCGCGCCAAGCCGGGAGAGTGGTGAGTCTGGGACCGGCGCGCACAACTGGGTCGATGTGCACGCCGGGGGGCCTCCACAACTTTTGCTGTGCCAGCGGTGCGGGTGCGCCGCCCAGCCCCCGCCCCTGCCCCGCCCCCGAGCGCTTAAGTTCCTTGCATTGGATTCCTTGCCTGTCGCTGCCGCAGCCCTGCTATCGTGGGCTCTCAGAAAGAAACTCACGGGCGGGTCTTCCTGTGGCATCTCAAGAGGTGGAAGGTTGGAGCAGCTTCGGGGGCACATCCTCCTAGATCTGGTGGAGGACATTGACCCTTTGCTTCACCTTCGAGGCCACAAATTGGTTCGAGATCTCAAGCCCCAAATTTGGAATGTTGGGGTCTTTAGGCCTCCGGGATTCCGGACTTGGCCGCCAATGCAAATCTCATAGCAATTTTAGTTTAGTTTATGCTTCCCCACCCCCGACCCATTCGCCCCAGATAGGCTCTCTAGTGCCCTGGCTGGAGCGCAGTGGCATAATCTCAGCTCACTGCAACCTCCACCTCCTGGCTCAAGCAATCCTCTCCGCTCAGCTTCCTGAGTACCTGAGAACATGGACATGTGTCACCATGCCAGGCTAAGTTTTGTATTTTCTTTCTGGAGTGATGGGGATTCACCATTTTCCCAGGTTGGTCTCAAACTCTTGGGCTCAAGTAGTCTGCCTGCTTCAGCCTCCCAGAGGGCGGGGATTTGAGCCAACCCACCCACCCATGATTCACTTTTTTTTTTTTTGAGACTGAGTTTCGCTCTTGTTACCCAGGCTGGAGTGCAATGGCACGATCTCGGCTCACCGCAACCTCCTCCTCCTGGGTTCAGGCAATTCTCCTGCTTCAGCCTCCTGAGTGTGATTCACTTTTTGCTACATGGATGTGACTGCTTGATCTAGGACCATGCATGGAAAAGACCATCTTTGTCCTTCTACACTGTGTAGCACTTTTTTTCCATCAATTGGATGGCTGTATGGTCATCTGACTGACAAAATCAGTGTGGGTCTGTTTCTGGACCAACGTGGGCAACATAGCAAGATCCAATCTCTACAAAAAATAATAAAGAATAAAGAAATACATGAAATTTTTTTAGTGGGTAGAGCAGATGGAGTCATAGGTGGTAATTTATAAACTATTGCTAATTTCTTGGCTAATACAGGTATTGGTAAGTGAGATCTGTTGGGAGTTCAGGCAAAATGTATTAAGTGAATCTTTGGTGTTCAGAATGATTGCTAGATGTTCATTGTGACTTCAGTTAGATGTTATTTGCGTATCACAGAGCTACAGGTTTTATTCTCTTCTTTATTTGTCTTTAAACACTTTTACAATCTTCCTGTCAAGGAAGTACCTCTTTTATACTTGATTGTTCTTAGGTATACTTAATTACCAGGAAAATTTTATGGATCATATTTAACTGTTAAGCCACTTAAAGTAAAGGGCTGATGTGATATAATGTAGATGACAGGATTCTACATAATAGTTCCAGGAGTATATCAATTAAATTGTTTCTTCTCCTTCTTCTTCTTGTTTCTTCTGTTTTTTTTTCTCCTTGAGATGGTCTGGCTTTGTTGCCGAGGCTGGAGTACAGTGGTGTAGTGGTATGATCGTGGCTCACTGCAGTTTTGACCTCTCAGGCTCAAGCAGCCTCCCACCTCAGCCTTCTTAAGTAGCTGGGACTACAGGCAGGCAACACCATGCCTGGCTAATTTTGTATCTTTTGTATGCAGGGTCTTCCTATGGTGCCCAGACTGGTTTGAAACTGCTGGACTCAAATGATCCTTCTACCTTGTCATCCCAAAGTATTGGTATTACAGGTGTGAGCTATCACACCTGGCCATTTTAGTTTTAATAATTTTATATTTTTCTAACTTAGAATATTTACTAAGTCTATTTAATTTATGACTATAATGTTTATTATGATGTTGATTTTGTATGTAATCTCATTTTGATATAAATTCTTGGAAATTAGGGATCTTGTTTCTTATTTGCTACTGTGTTCTCAGTACTTGACCTTGCCAGGTATGATACAGATATTGAAATAGTTGTTAAATGAATGAATGAACCACATTCATAAATTCTCCAAGTATCACAGCGTTCACTATCTAACAAATAAAAGAACTTGTCTAGAGTAGAATCACAGTTAACCTGCCATACAAGGAAATGTCAATGAAAATCAACCTTTGTATATGTAGCTGCTAAGATTTGGGGGCTTTTGTTACTGCAGCATAAACTAGCAAAGCTCAGTGATGTGGCAGATAGAATACACACACACACACACACACACACACACACACACACACACACAGAGAGAGAGAGAGAGAGAGAGACAGAGACAGACAGACACAGACACCAGATGGACCAGTAGATGAGATTCCAAAGATAGTTCATTCAGCATTAACTAACCACACCTACACTCTCTTAATTTCCTAACAGAAAGAATGGAATTTCTGTTCACTAAGATCTGCCTCAAAGAGTTCTTTGTGAAAACTTCTCTGGGTATGCTAGTATTTAATCAGGACCTTTTCTTTTTCCTCCTGCAGATTGGAGGGCAGTGGTGCCATCATAGCTCACTGTAACATGTAACTCAAGGCTCGAGGAGTTCTCCTGCCTCAGTCTCCCAAGTAGCTGAGACTGCACATGTGCACCACCATGCTTGGCTAATTTTTTATTTTCAGAGACAGGGTCTTACTATGTTGCCCAGGCTGGTCAGGACTGTTATTGCGTATGACAGAAACCCAGCCAACCCTAGTTCCCGCCATCTTTCAGTCTGCTCCTTTCTTAGTCTTCCGAGTCTCAACAAACGGCAGTTTCATCCTTCACGTTGCCCAAGCCCCAAATCTTAATGTTAACCTTGACTTCTCTCTTTTATGTCATAGCATATGAAGGCCAATCATGTTCAGACCTAGGCGGAGGTTCCTGCTGACCCTGGCTCTCACCAGCACATTGTTCTTTACTGTCTGGAGCTTCAGTGCTGTGTGCTCTGGGCCTCCATGCTGGGGCACCACCGACTCTGGCTGTCCAGGGCTTCCAGTGGACTCTCCGAGGCACTGATGTAGAATTCAGTGCACCAAGAGCAGCCTCCCATGGTGTGGGCTTACATGAAGAGCTGTCAGATTCAACAGGTAAAAATCATGAGGCACTACCACAGTTGGACACTTACATTCCCCCATCTGGAAAATACATGCACCCTCTCCTCTAAAGTTTCCAGATTTCATGTCATTAAAGCAGTAGTTCAATATGAAAAACGTCACATAGACCACATCAGATCCAAAGTTTCAGATCTCATCTACGACATCCACACATGGTGTGGATGAGGCTTCTGAGGGTGTCCATTAAGTACAGATCCTTGATATAATTTCCTTACCTCCATCAACCTGTGAAATTGAACAAACTGCTTATCTGTTCCTAATGTGGAATGGCTGGACAGACACAGAATAACAATAACAGTGATTCTAGTTCAAAAAGAAGGAACATGGAAGGGAGAAAGAAGTCACTGACCCAAAATCGTTTCGAAATGGAGCTGGGCAAAATCCAGCAGGAGGTTCTTATGTAGGACCCACAGCCTGGGACTGACCCTCCATCCTGTGGAACTTTGCCTCTGGGATCTTTGCTCTGCATTTCTTGAAACCATTATTATCTTGTTTTTTTCCCCACTCCTGTGGTTCTTCTCCTTTCTCCTCATGGCAGCATCCTCCGCTTAATCCTTGGTCTGTCATCCCCAGCAGAATCGGTCAGACATTGCCTGTGTCTCGGTCCTGACCATCTCCACGAGGGGCTGTCCTTGTGAGCCCGTGCTCCTCTGGGACTGTCTTCACTTGTTCATTTCATTGAACAAGCTACTTGTCATAAAAGTCACTAATTGTAAATGTAGAATTTAATAATTTAAGTAGATATGTAGAATTTTGTAGCCATCGCCTCAGTCCCCACGTGGAATACATTTCTTACCTCCCCAGATTCCCCAGAGCCTCTCTGCAGTCATTTTCCAGTCCCTGGTCATCACGATGGAGCCTGAACAAAATTAAAATTTGGAAAATAGAGCACATTACATTTAAGCTTTTATTAGATTGGAATTTTATATAATTGACTGTTGTCTTACTCTTGTGTCAACTAGAGGAGATATTTCATTCTAAGGACTTTCTTTGGGGGAACTTAGTAGTAGTCCTGTTATTGCTCTCCTTGAATTGGTTCATCTATGCTGGTGACACATAGTTGCTATCAAACCTTGTCTGGTGAGCACAAGTGAAAGAGCCTTAAAAAAAAACCTTCTATTAGAAATGTAGATGATGAATTTGCAGATAATGATATGCGGAGTTTTTTTTTTTTTTTTAGCCGGAGTTTCACTCTTGTTGCACAGGTGGAGTGCAAGGGCATCATCTTGGCTCACTGCAGCCTCTGCTTCCCAGGTTCAAGCAATTCTCCCTCCTCGACCTCCTGAATACCTTGGATTATGGGCATGCACCAGCACGCCAAGCTAATTTTGTATTTTTAGTAGAGATAGGGTTTCTCCATGTTGGTCAGGCTGGTCTTGAACTCCCAACCTCAGGTGATCTGCCCTCCTCAGCCTCCCAAAGTGTTGGGATTCCAGGCGTGAGCCATCATGCTGGAGTGCTATGGTGCAATCCCAGCTCACTGCAACTTTTACCTCTAGGGTTCAAGTGATTCTTGTGCTTCAGTCTTTTGAGATGCTGGGATTACATGCCTGGCTAATTTTGTTGTTTTTGTTTTTGTTGTTGTTGTTGTTGTTGTTTTGAGACAGAGTTTCACTCTTGTTACCCAGGCTGGAGTGCAATGGTGCGATCTCGGCTCACCACAACCTCCGCCTCCTGGGTTCAAGCAATTCTCCTGCCTCCGCCTCCCAAGTAACTGGGATTACAGGCACGCACCACCACGCCCAGCTGATTTTTTGTATTTTTAGTAAAGATGGGGTTTCACCATATTGACCAGGGTGGTCTTGATCTCTTGACCTCGTGATCCACCCACCTTGGCCTCCCAAAGTGCTGGGATTATAGGCGTGAGCCAATGCACCTGGCCTGCTAATTTTGAATTTTTAGTAGAGACAGGGTTTCTCCATGTTGGTCAGGCTGGTCTCGAACTCCCAACCTCAGGTGATCCACCCACCTTAGTCTCCCAATGTGCTGGGATTACATGCGTGAGCCACCACACCTGGCTGGGAGTTAAGTATTTTACCATCTTTTTTCTTTCAGAAATTGTATTTGTAACATTGAAGAGACACTTCTCACCTTCCTGAAATGCCCTTCGTTATCTTCTTCAAGTTGCAAGGGCTCTGGAACAGCCCTTGCAGTGCTTCCACAAAAGTAAGTATAACATTTTACTGTAGTCTTTCGTTTTTTTTTCTGTTTTTTGCCTATAGGGATTAGCATACATGTACGTGAAAATGTAAAAAGAGTACAGATAGGCACCTGTAACTAGTTTTCTGTTGCTACCTTTTAACACATTATAACAAGTTAGTGGTCTGAAACCATAGAACTCAGGAATGACTGGGTTCCCTGATCAGGGTCTTAGGAGGCTGACATCCAGTTATGGGCTTCCTGTGTTTTTCATCTAGAGCTCAGGCTACCCTTCCAAGTTCACTGCAGATGTTTTGGCAGAATTCCTCTTCCTGTGGGTGGAGGACTGAGATCCCTTTTTCAGTCCTCCTGGCTGTCAGCTTCCAACCAACAACAGCTCATGGAATTCTTCTCCAGCTCCCTTCCTCTTTCTGACTTTGTCTTCTCCTACCTGCTAGAGAAATCTCTGACACTTAGGGAGTGATGTGATTCAATCCGGCCCACTCAGGAAAGCTCAGCCTTTGTATTAGTCTTTTCTTGCAATGTTATACTTAATGACCTGGGTGATTTATAAAGTCAGAAGTTGAATCAGATCATGGTTCTGTGGGCTCTGCAGGCTTCTTCTGGGGAGGCCTCAGGAAACTTACAATCATGGTGGAAGTGGAAGTAGGCATGGTCTTCACATGACCGGCAGGAGAGACAGAGCGAGTGAAAGGGGAAGTGCTACATACTTTTATATAACTAGATCTCATCAAAACTCTGTCAGGCGATGGCACTTGGGGGATGGTTCAGAGCCATTAGAAACCATCCGCATGATCTAATAACCTCCCTCCAGGGCCCCCCTCTAACACTTAGGATTATAATTCAACATGAGATTTGGGTGGGGACACAGCCAAACCATATCACTCTTAAAGTCATATGACTGCCATGTAACAACGTAATTACAGGAATGTCTCACCAGCTTAACAGGTTCCAGAGATAAGGGTACAGCATGTTTGGAGACCATTTTAGAAATTCCACCTATCACAGTTCAACTTCTGTTCCCCAGACATTCATATTCCTCAGAGATGCAAAATAGATTCACCCTCTCACCTAAGGTTTCCAAGTTTCTTGTCATAAACGCTTTAGTTCAAAGTGAGAAATGTCATGTAGCTCTAATCTGATGAAAAGTTTAAAATCTCATTTAAATCATCTACATCAAGTGCAAATGAGGTTTCTGAGGGTGTCCGTTAAGTACAGATTCTTTTTTGTTTGTTTTTGAGAGTGAGTCTTGGTCTGTCCCTCATGCTGGAGTGCAGTGGTGTGATCTTGTCTTCCTGCAGCTTCAGCCTCCTGGGTTCAAGCGATTCTCCTGCCTCAGCCTCTTGAGTAGCTGAGATTACAGGCATACACCACTGAATTCAGCTAATTGTTTTGTATTTTTAGTAGAGACGGGGTTTTGCCCTGTTGGGCAGGCTTGTCTGAAACTCCTGACCTCAAGGGATCCATCCCCCTCAGCCTCCCAAAGTGCTGGGATTACAGTTATGAGCCACCATGCCCAGCCAAAGTACAGATCCTTGATATAATTCCCTTACCTCTGTTGACCTGTGAAACTGAATAAACAGCTTGTCTGTCCTCAGTGTGCAACGGTGGTACAGTCACAGAATAACGATGCTAGTGATTCTTGTTCAAAAAGAGGGAAAGTGGAGGGAGCAAAGTCACTGATGGAAAACCATTTTGAAATGGGGCTGAGCAAAGTCCAGCAGGAATGTCTTGATTAGGCTCCTCAGCCTGGAACTAACCCTCTGTGACAGGGAGCTTTGCCTCCAGGCTCTGCATTTTTTTTTTTTATCATTTGTGAACACATTTATTTTCCTTCTTCCCCCACTGTTTTGGTTCTTTTCCTTTTTCCTCATGGCAGCATGCTCCACTTAATTCTTGTTGCATTGTCCCCAGCAGAATTGGTCAGGCATTGCCTGTGTCATGGTCCTGACCATCTCCAGGAGGGCCTGTCCTTGTGAGCCCATAGTCCTCTTCAACTGTTCTGATCTCTTGCAGTCATGATTGCTTTCAGCTGCCCTGGCTGGCTCAGGAGAAAACCTAAGACTATGGAGTCCCAGAACCCATCTCTGCCTTCTCTATCTCTAAGAGCGGAAGAAACTAACAGGGATCTTCTTGGAGAAATGGTCCATGTGAGGGCCTGGACTCTCCAGCAGTTACAGTAGAGGAAGCTCCCTGAGGAAGAATGAAGGAGCTGAGAGCCCAGGCCGGGAAAGCAGGGTTGTGTGAAACACTATTTAATCCTATGTGCTCCCTGCCCCAATCTAGCAACTAGTGAATGACAGCTGACTGAGTATAAATGCCAGGACTATAGAACTGTGATAAAGGGTTTGTCCAAGGAAAGGGGCTTCTACTGTTTTTGTTTTCACAGAGGAAATTGGTATTTTTAATCTAAAGTTTTTTGAAAGTCAGCAGTGAGCTTCTGGAGGGTGAGTTACCTGCTCTGCACAGGGAGGCTGAGGCCAAGGCTTGTGTGTGGGACCTGCTGTCACCAAGAGGTGAGAGTTCCTGGGAGAGTCTTAGAGTTTCTGGGCTTTAGGTTCCTCATCGGTAAGGTAGGGGCTTATTGTACCTCTCTGAGGTCCCTTCCTGCTCTGTTTTCTCTGAGTCTCTGAGGAATTGAGATGGTTTTCAGTGCTGCCTGGGACCATCAGCTGAGACCTGACTGTGTGTGTCTCCTGTAGGAGCCTGAGCTGAGTCTACACCCTGAAATCCAAGAGCTGAGGAAAGAAAGAAAGTCAGCAGGTTTAGGGGATGAGAATAAGCCACAAAGGATAAGCCATTGATAGATGAAAACCAAAGAAGAGGAGAATAAGGACAAACTGGGACAGAAGCCTCAGGGGAAATGGGCAATGCCTATGATCACTTAAATTCTCAGGGAGCAGCATGAGCTGAGCATTAGGGAGTGAGAGAGAAACTTACTCCACAGGAATCTCCTGCCTCTGGCCAGGGAGAGCCATAGGGTAGATTAGAGCTCATTTTTAGTGAGGGGCAGCTTCAACTCCAGGAGGGGGAGGATGCGACCTTGAGCCCTCCTCCCTCAGACCTAGGAGCCTCGACCTCGGGGCTGCCATAGCAGTTGATGCTCTTCAGGTCACTGTGGGTTAGAGGGAATAACTGTGCTTGGAGAAGGGTTGGAGGTGTTCATTCTTACATCGAACAGCTCTGCCTTAGGTCAGGTGCCAGAGTAAGTGTCCTTCGCTTGTATATGAAGCAGTGATAAACTATTCTGTGTCTTCAGTTGAGGGAAGTTTCTCATAAATATTTATTGAGTATTTAATTTTCTTTATACCATGCTAAGCACTTGGGATTCAGCTATTTAATGTCTCCAAAGAAAAGCCAGTGAGTGGAAGAACACAAACAGATCATTTCAACAAGATACAGTAGTTCTACCCAACTGAGGTGTTGTGGCAGCCTGGAAGCTGGGAGGGTATGTCAAAGGACATTGCTCCTAATGACAGGGGGAAGCATAAGAGAACATTTTCAGATTGGCCAGGACTTGTGGCTGATGCCTATAATCCCAGCACTTTGTGAGGCCGAGGTGGGTGGATCACAAGGTCATCGAGACTATCCTGGTCAACATGGCAAAACCCCATCTCTACTGAAAATAGAAAAACATTAGCTGGGCATGGTGGTGCATGCCTGTAGTCCCAGCTACTTGGGAGGCTGAGGCAGGAGAATTTCTTTAACCCAGGATGCAGAGGTTGCAGTGAGCTGAGATCACACCATTGCACTGATGCCTGGGTAACTAGAGAAAAACTGCCTCAAAAAAAATTCAAAACAGGCTAGCCTTTCTTCAAGCTCCCACAGGAGAGGATCCTGGGGCAGGGATGGTGTAGGGCAGGCACCTCTCTAGAGAAGGGGATTTGCAGCATTCTGAGAGAAAGAGCATCCTTACAAGATACTGGGGACAGAAATGTAGGTGAAAGGGTCGGAGGTTTGTAGTCAATTTTATTCAGTCATGGATGAACACTGCTGAGAGACCCCCTCTGTGCTGGGCCCTTAGCTAAGAACCACGATCACAGAGGTGAGTAAAATAGGATCCCAGCTTTCACACAATTCTCAGTCTAGTGACTGGTGATTGATGAGAATTGTAGTCATGGTGGGTTCATTGGAACCAGTGGCCGATGCTGCATGAGATGACCTCAGTGTATGGCCTGGGCCAGTGACCCTGGACTTCAGCCATATTTCAGCATACGGAGGTACAGTGCACCAATACTGCTCCATGTTGAGTCAAAGCAGTTAACAGAGCCAAGGTATTCAGAAGACACTGATGATATCAGTAGCTATTGACTGTTTCCGGCTGGGGAAACAAAGAAGTAAATTTAATAAGTGTTCTAAATTTGTCCTTGCCATGATGATAAAAAACTTGATCTTGATAATGAATGATATTCTTGCAAATTACTTGTAACTTACCATAATGAGAAATAACTTTATGCTGAGTACAGCAGACATACAAGCCCTCGAGGACACATGCCTGAGGATTCCGATGAGGATATAATGTCCAAATATGTACATGTTTGGACCTACAGTTCAGCTTTGAAACAGTGAAAGACCTAGTTTCAAATTCAAGGTTGCTTTGAGTAGAAATTCACTTTACCTCTCTCTGCATGTCAGTGGGGCCAATCTTCCCTAAGGTGCCCCTTACAAGAAAAGGAATCATGCTGGTAAGATTTCAGACTTCAGCAGACATGGGTAAGTAAGGAAGTCTTACAAATCTATTCGAGCCACCTAGCAAGAAATGAGAAATTTAGCAAGTTCATTCACATTCAGGACAATTGTGTGCACTAGATTAGAGGCCCTGATACATGAAGAACAGACCCCTAACAAGGGCAAGTATTTCTTCCTGTCCTAGGACATCACTGCCAACTTCAGGGAAGTGGGAACACAGCTGCCTGCTTTAGGGTATGGGTTACTTTTGTGCCTGGAATGTGTCTGATGTACTGCTTTCTGTACCCATTTCGGGAAGCCTTGGGAGGAGCCTGAATCACTGATGGAATTGGACAGTGCGTGGAGATGGTTGAGCAGGATGAGGGTAAGTGCAGGGGCATGACCAGGTCATACTGGGAGACGATGAGTGGCACTGATGGGGACAGACACAGATAAAGTCAACAGTTCGTGCTTCAGCATCAAAAACTCAAACCAATAACAAATTTGCTTTTATAAGTAATAAGTATTTTTCTATTTACATGAGAATTTAATCTCAAAATAAATCATAAAAATAGTAAGTGTGGGGCATAAAACCTAAACCATAGCTCATAGTTATTCTTTCTACATGGAGCTATCAGTAAAATCTTCCTCATAAAACATATATTGTGGTTATAAAAAGGCAAAAGTTCACCAGGTACGGTGGCTCATGCCTGCAGTCCCAGGATTTTGGGAGGCCGAGACGGGGGGATCATGATGTCAGGATATCAAGACCATCTTGGCCAACACGCTGAAACCATTTCTCTGCTAAAAACACAAAGCTTAGCTGGGCGTGGTGGCACGTGCCTGTAGTCCCAGTGACTTGGGAGACTAAGGCAGGAGAATCACTTGAACACAGGAGGCAGAGGTTGCAGTGAACCAAGATTGTACCACTGCATTTCAGCCTAGAGACAGAGCAAGACTCTCTGAAAAAAAGAAGGAAAAAAAGCAAAAGTCTTAGTGAAAATCATAGGTGTTCCTTAGAAGAGAGAATTAAATATAGTCAAGAATTAAGTATAGACCAAGTCTCATAGTTCTCTTGTATGTTCCAAACTTTCAGGGAAATTCCAGGCAACAGAGGATATTTCCCATGCTGTTAAAGCAAGGTTGCAAACACTAATGAATTCTGGGCCCAATACTCTAGGAGGGCACACCTCTGTCCTGGAAAATGATACAGGAATGAATACTTTTCTTGTGACTCATTCTGGTTATTCATCCAGGATCACAGACACTAAACAATGGAAATATTGCCAAATTCATGATTTGCTAACCCTCTTCTCAGGTTTCTTACCTGACTCTTAGGATAACAGCATTACCTTGAAGCATATGATGAAGATAGTGCTGTCAAAATATGTGCACAGTTTTGAGCAAAATGCTTGGTACAAATTGGTTAACAATTACTGAATGATTATATGAATATTCACTGAATGACATGGATCCTATGAATAACTGTGGAATAATTGTTGTGATTGCTTTTATTAGCAGTGCTCAAAATCATCTCTGTGTGACCTTGCAGGTAAGCCACATAACTGTGAACCTGCAGTTTCATTTTAAAATGAAACCTGACATTTTCATTCTGCCCCAGAATGTCAGGCCTCCCAGACACCAGAACATACATTTACTTAAAGTCTTTGATATATCTCCATGCAGTATCCCTACAGGTAGTTGGAGGATGGTGGGGGCTGCAGAGAGGCATGCTTTCCAATGGGATTGAGGCAGTCTTTCTCCCTTGACTTCCACATGAATGCTGGGCAGCCCAGGGTCACACCCATTGCACCCTCAACTCAGGCAAGCCCAGCAGCCAAACATAGGAGACTTGGGCTACAGAGCATTCTCCCAAATTCCAGGCTCAGAAAACCGAGGTGGAGAAAGTGAGGGGGTGGTTCAGGGGATCATTCTTCCCTACTCATTCCTCTAATCTCAAATTCACCTTCCATTGCACAGCAACACTGAGGACCACCAACCACCCCTGACCATCACCTTGCTCTTGCCCTGTTAGGTTAGTGGGATGCACCCACACATCGATGGTGTTAGACCAACTTAGAAAAATACCTATCAAACAGTGTTCCATAAGAACGGCTCATGGCCCTGTTATTTTCAATATATGGAAAAAATTAAATGGAAACAAAATCATATCAGGTTTCCAAGACTTCCCATGATAGATGGTCACACATGCTTTCAGGAGATCTCTATAGAAATGGTTTCAATGGTGTGACACCTTGAAAAGAGCTCTTCTGGGACTATAATGACATCTATAAGTGACAAGTATGAGATGTAGTGTTCAGTCACATTAAAAAACAAATCATCCAACATAGAGGAAGCTTGGGACATAGGGACATCACACTGGTCTTAATTGTCATGAAAAGCCTCTTCTGCCATAAACATTAGTGTACTGGTACCAGCCAGTAAGAAAAGCTAAAGGAGCATACCTGCCAGTAAGAAAAACTAAAGGGATGAAGTAAGAAGAACATTGAGCCAGGAAAGAAAACATTTTTAAGACTCAGAGGATATCATGGCAGTGTAATAAGTTGATATCTTAAACTTGTGGAAAAGCCTTAAATTCTGTTTTAACATGACTGACTTCATGACTAGCATTAAGAAAGTATCACGTGTTGGGAAACTGTTTCTTCCTTCATGATTTTATACACATAAGAGATGAAAAATGAGGCACATGCTTAGATGTATTGGGAATGAGATGGGACTGTGGCATTGTCACAACAGTACACAAATACTGAGAGTGAATTATAGAGTAATGGTCCCCATCTGTTGTGACCTCAGGTGAGACCAAGAGGCCTGTGTTTTAGCAAAGCCTGGACAGTTGGAATGAAGGGCTCCTAAGATTCCATGACACGCCCAGCTTTTAATTCTGTTATTGCAACAGCAGATGGTTACCTGGGACACTGTCCACTATCTCTTTCACTCTTGTCAGAGTATGAGCTAAAGGCAGTGCCTTCAGTTCTCAGCTCAAGCATTTTCAACCTTGTTTTTGCGGTTAAGGACCCTAAAGTGCTGTGAGGAGGGATCAGGTTTTTCTCAACAGTAAGTTAAGAATTTGAGTGACTGACATCCCCCAGTCCTGATGAAACCTATTTGATTTCCAGTTTTTAACCCATCATGTGTTTGGGTTTCTTCTCCCCAGTCCTTGGTTCTACCTGTGATGCCCGAAATGTCAGCATGATGGCATCGGGTGGGATGTGTTCCAGGAAGACCACAGAGGCAAACTTTCCAGATATCATCGAGAATTCCTACTCCCAGCAGGAAGAGACCAAACCAAATATCGGAGCCAGCAAAAATAGACTTCTTCTGAGTCAGGTGGCTTACTTCCTGAACTACCAGCTGAAAACATACAGTAAGTTCTATAGTTTGACCACCATGAAAGTAATGAATCATGTCCTGTCTTGTCTCAAGAAACTAATCAAACTTCTCTTAATCAAGATTAATTTCAATCCTTCCCATACTTGTGGAAACTAGCAATGGGTATTTTAACATTTACTTAAAGATGGAAGATAGTGGTGAAAGTATTTAGCAACTTTTCCACATCTGCAGTAAGGTGGGTGTGGGACTGGGGTTAAAATCCCAGCTATTGATTTCTGACATAGGCACAGAACCACCTGTTTTTCTCAGCAAAAGGCTAAGTCATGTTTACAGGAATCCTCTCTTTACCATATAAGGATTCTACATACAAGTAGCATCTAGTATGTTGGTCTAAATGTCTGAGGCTACTGAACTTCCATTTGGTTCCGGTTTCTGCTGAGGCCCAGTAGGCAACGCTGTGTTCTGGGAACACTGGGGGAAACACAGTGATAGCACACAGTACCCACAATGAAAAGCAAACCTGTGATATCTGTAAGTGGCACCATCAAGGGCAGGGAGTACTTTGGTACTGGTGCCTCAGCCTCCCAATCAGCTGTGATCTCCGATGGGCACCACCACACCTGGATAATTTTTGTATATTTAGTAGAGGCAGGGTTTCACCATGTTGGCCTGGCTGGTCTTGAACTCCTGAGGTCAAGTGATCTGCCCAGTTGAGCCTCCTAAAGTGCTGGGATTCCAGGTGTGAGCCGCCAAACCTGCTCCACAGATTTTTTTTTTAGTAAAAGTTTTTAGAATTCATCCCTTGGTTCACTCTCCTATATAATTTTCTCTAACAATTTATTGATAATTATATATGATCAGATAAATCAGTATTGCAACAATGCTTCTGGAATGTAGGGCAATTTTTGAAGATTTTGGGGACAAAGGTTTAATTTTTTGTTAGAAGTTCAGATGATGTGACTAAGATCTACCAAATGGAGATCTTGTCCCATGGATTTGAAAAGCAGGCTCATCTACTTCTAGGGTGACTTAATCTAAGGACCAGTAGAACATTCCTGTCAGAATATCACATTCTTACCCTGAGAATATTTTACGTCCTCACGCTATGACCGAACACTGATTTGGTCTTGTGTGAAGTGTGATTTCCTTAATGTGACCTGCTCTTTTGAATTTGTTTACAGGAGATCGAAAAGATCACGAAGAACAGAAAGGCAGAGATAGCAAAAATAAACTTCTTATGAGTCAAATGGCCTACTACCTGGGCTGCTGGCTGAAGACGGAAGGTAAGTTCTCTAGGTTCACTGTCTTGAAAGTGATGAACAGTGTCCTGCCTTGTCTCTGAGAAATGATGAACTCTCTTCAGAGTTAATTTTATTCTACCCATACTTCTAGGAATATAGCAGTGGGTATTTTAACATTTTGTTAAAATATGTTAACAAAATACTGGAAGACAGAGGCCAAAGTATTGAGCAACATTTCCACATCTGCAGTAAGGCAGGTGTGGGACTAGTGATAATATCCCAGCAATCGATTCCTGATACAGGCACAGAACCACCTGTATTTCTCAGCAAGAGGCTAAATCATGTTTAAAGGAATCCTTGTAACATAGAAGATCCTGCAGAACTCATAAGCAAGATAAAGGTAGAAGTGTTAATTTCCTGGTTTCAAAGTGACTGAGTAGTTAAGACAAGTTGACTTTAAAGAGAATGAGAGAGGAGGTAAGAAGAGTAAAAGGGAAAGAACATCTTCAAATCAATAGGCAAGGCTGTCGGTGACATCACTCAGTCCCGATTAAACGAATTTGATGACACCAGTTTCTAACCCATCATGTGTTTGGGTTTCTTCTCCCCAGTCCCTGGCTATCTGTGTTCTGCCCAAAACGTCACCACAGTGGCATCTGGCAGGGCTCCTTCCAGAAAAAACACAGAAGTGAACATTCCAGAAGACATTGAGAAATTCTGCTCCCAGCAGGAAGAAATCAAAGCAAATTTCAGAGCTGGCAAAAATAGACTTCTTCTGAGTCAGGTGGCCTACTTCCTGAACTACCAGCTGAAGACCTACAGTAAGTTCTATAGGTTCACCACCACGAAAGTGATGAATGATGTCCTGTGTTGTCTTGAGAAACTAACCAGTTTCTTCATCAAAATTAATTTCATCCTTCCCATACTTGCAGAAAATAGAAATGGGTATTTTAACATTTTGTTAAAGATGGAAGACAGAGGCCAAAGTATTTAGCAACTTTTCCACCTCTGCAGTAAGGTGGGTGTGGGACTGGGGTTACAATCCCAGCTATTGATCTCTGACACAGGCACAGAACCACCTGTTTTTCTCAGCAAGTGGCTAAATCCGGGTTCATAGGAATCCTCTCTGTACCATATAAGATCCTGCAGACAAGTAGCATTTAGTCTGTTGGTCTAAATGTCTGGGGCTACTGAACTTCCATTTAGTTGTGGTTTCTGCTGAGGCCCACTAGGCAAAGCTGTGTTCTGGGACACTGGGGGAAACACGGTGATGGCACACAGTACCAGCTGTCGGGAATTTAGCGGGGATCCTGCTCCTAATAGAACCTGTGTTATCTGAAAGTGGGTCCATCAAGAGCAGGGAATACCCTGACTGGTGCGGCAGCCTCCAAATCAGCTGGGATCCCCGGTGGGAACCACCACACTTGACTAACTTTTGTATTTTCAGTAGAGGCAGGGTTTCACCTTGTTGGCCAGGCTGGTCTTGAACTCCTGAGGTCAAGGGATCCACCCTCCTGGGCCTCCTAAATTGCTGGGATTCCAGGCGTGAGCCACCATGGTGGCTCCACAGATTCTTTTTTCAGTAAAGGTTGTTAGAATTCATCTCTCTGTCCAGTCTCCTGTAAAATTTTCTCTAACCATTCATTGACCATGATATGTGATGAGATAAATCAGTATTACAGCAATGCTTCTGGAAAGTAGTTAGGGCAATTTTTGTAAGATTTTTGGGGAAAAAGTTTTAATTTTTTTGCTTGATTAAGGTCTACCGGATGAGGGAGATTTTATCCCATGGATCTGAAAAGCAGGCTCATCTACTTCTAGGGCAACTTAATGTAGGGCCTGTTAGACATTCCTGTCAGAATACCACATTCTTAGAATATTTTACATCCTTGTGTTATGAGTGGACACTGATTTGGTCTTGTGTGAAGTGTGATTTCCTTAATGTGACCTGCCCTTCTGAATTTATTTACAGGAGATCGAAAAGATCACGATGAAGAACAGAAATGCAGAGACAGCAAAAATAAACTTCTAACAAGTCAAGTGGCCTACTACCTGGGCTGCCGGCTGAAGCCGGAAGGTAAGTTCTCTAGGTTCACCATCATGAAAGTGATGAACAGTGTCCTGTTTTGTCTCTAAGAAACGATACACTGTCTTCTTGAAAGTTCATTTCATCCTGCCCATACTTCCAGGAATGTAGCAATGGGCATTTTAACATTTTGTTAGTGATGGAAGACAGAGGCCAAAGTATTTAGCAACTTTTCCACGTATACAATAATGCGGGTGTGGGACTAGTATTAATATCCCAGCTATTGATTCCCGACACGGGGACAGAATGACCTGCTTTTTTCAGCAAGAGGCCAAATCATGTTTACAGGAATCCTCTCTACCATATAAGATCCTGGAAAACTTATAAGCAAGATAAAGGTAGAAGTGTTTATTTCATAGTTTTAAGGTGACTGAGTAGCTAAGACAAGTTGAATTTAAGGAGACCAAGAGTGGAGATGAGAAGAGTAAAAGCGGGGAAACAACATCTTCAAATCGATAGGCAGTGCTGTCAGTGACATCCCTCAGTTCTGATGAAACCAATTTGATGTCCCCAGTTTCTAACGCATCATGTGTTTGGGTTTCTTCTCTCCAGTCCCTGGCTATCTGTGTTCTGCCCCAAACATCAGCACTGTGGCATCTGGCAAGCCTCCTTCCAGAGAAAACACAGAGGTGAACATTCCAGAAGGCATTGAGAAATCCTTCCAACAGGAAGAAAACAAACTGACTTTCAGAGCCAGCAAAAATAGACTTCTTCTGAGTCAGGTGGCCTACTTCCTGAACTACCAGCTGAAGACCTACAGTAAGTTCTATAGGTTCACCACCACGAAAGTGATGAATAATGTCCTGTCTTTTTTTGAGAACCTAACCACTTTCTTAATCAAAATTAGTTTCATACTCTTCATACTTGCAGAAAATAGAAATGAGTATTTTACCGTTTTGTTAAAGATGTAAGGCAGAGGCCAAAGTATTTAGCAACTTTTCCATGTCTGCAATAAGGTGGGTGTGGGACTGGGATTAAAATCCCAGCTATTGGCCGGGCGCATTGGCTCATGCGTATAATCCCAGCACTTTGGGAGGCCGAGGCGGGTGGATCATGAGGTCACGAGATCGAGACCATCCTGGTCAACAAGGTGAAACATCGTCTCTACTTAAAATACTTAGCCGGATATGGTGGTGTGCGCCTGTAGTCCCAGCTACTCGGGAGGCTGAGGCAGGAGAATTGCTTGAACCCAGGAGACGGAGGTTTCGGTGAGCCGAGTTCATGCCATTGCACTCCAGCCTGGGTAACAAGAACGAAACTCCGTCTTAAAAAAAAAAAACAAAAAAGTCCCAGCTATTGATTTCTGACACAGGCACAGAACCACCTGTTTTTCTCAGCAAAGGGTGAAATCATGTTTACAGGAATCCTCTCTACTGTATACGATTCTGCAGACCAGTAGCATCTAGTCTGTTGGTCTAAATGTATGAGGCTAGTGAACTTCTCCTTGGTTCTGGTTTCTGCTGAGCCCCAGTAGGCAAAGGTGTGTTCTGGGGCACCAGGGGAACACAGTGATAGCACATGGTACCTCCTGTGAGGAGCTTGAAGGGGACCCTGCTCCTAATAGAACCTGTGGTATCTGTAAGTGGCACCATCAAGAACAGGAAGTATCCTGGTACTGGTGCCTCAGCCTCCCAATTAGCTGGGATCCCTGGTGGGCACCAAAGCACCTGGCTAATTTTTGTATTTTTAGTAGAGGCGGTGTTTCACCATGTTGGCCAGGCTGGTCTTCAACTCCTGAGGTCAAGTGATCTGCCGGTCTGGGCCTCCTAAAATGCTGGAATTCCAGGCAGGAGACACCGGGCTGCCTCCACAGATTATTTTTAAGTAAAGGTTGTTAGAATTCATCCCTTGGTCCTGTCTCCTATTATAAATTTCCCTAAACATCCATTGAGCATGATATATGATGATATAAATCAGTATTGCAGTAATGCTTCTGGAAAGTGGTTAGGGCAATTTTTGAAGATTTTGGGGACAAAGTTTTAATTATTTGCACTGACTTAGGTCAGAGGATATGTGATTAAGATCTACCAGATGAGGGAGATTTTGTCCCATGGATCTGAAAAGCAGGCTCATCTACTCAGTTGATTTAACCTAGGGCCTGTTAGAACATTTTCATCAGAATATCACATTCTTACACTGAGAATATTTTACATCCTTGTGCTATGACCAAACACTGATTTGGTCTTGGGTGAAGTGTGATTTGCTTAATGTGACCTGCTCTTCTGAATTTGTTTACAGGAGATCAAAAAGATCGCGATAAAGAACAGAAATGCAGAGACAGCAAAAATAAACTTCTTATGAGTCAAGTGGCCTACTACCTGGGCTGCCAGCTGAAGACGGAAGGTAAGTTCTCTGGGTTCACTGTCTTGAAAGTGATGAACAATGCCCTGTCTTTTCTATGAGAAATGATACATTCACTTCTTCAAAGTTTATTTCATCCTTCCTATACTTCTAGGAAAATAGCAAAGGCTATTTTAACATTTTGTTAAAGATGGAAGACAGAGGCCAAAGCATTTAGCAACTTTTCCACGTCTGCAGTAAGGCGGGTTTGGGACTAGGGTTAATATCTCAGCTATTGCTTCCTGACACAGGCACAGAACCACCTGTTTTTCTCAGCAAGAGGGTAAGTCATGTTTACAGGAATACTCTCTAGCATATTAGATCCTGCAAAACATAGAAGCAAGATAAAGGTAGAAGTGTTTATGTCCTGGCTTCAAGGTGACTGAGTAGCTAAGACAAGTTGACTTTAAGGAGATCAGGAGTGGAGATGAGAAGAGTAAAAGCAGGGAAACACCGTCTTCAAATCAATAGACAGTGCTGTCAGTGCCATCCCTCAGTCCCAATTAAAGCAATTTGACATCACCAGTTTCTAATGCATCGTGTGTTTGGGTTTCTTCTCCCCAGTCCCTGGCTATCTGTGTTCTGCCCCAAACGTCATCATGGTGGCATCAGGCAAGCCTCCTTCCAGAGAAAACACAGAGGTGAACGTTGCAGAAGGCATTGAGATATCCTGCTCCCGGCAGGAAGAAAACAAATCGATTTTCATAGCCAGCAAAAATAGACTTCTTCTGAGTCATGTGGCCTACTTCCTGAACTACCAGCTGAAGACCTACAGTATGTTCTATAGGTTCACCACCACTAAATTGATGAATAATGTCCTATCTTGTTTTGAGAAACTAACCTCTTTCTTCATCAAAATTAATTTCATCCTTCCCATACTTGTAGGAAATAGAAATGGTTATTTTAGCATTTTGTTAAAGATGGAAGGCAGAGGCCAAAGTATCTAGCAACTTTTCCACGTCTACAGTAACATGGGTGTTGGACTGGGGTTACAATCCCTGCTACTGATCTCTGACAGAGGCACAGAACCACCTGTTTTTTTCAGCAAATGGCTAAATCATGTTTACAGGAATCCTCCCTGTACCATATAAGATCCTGCAGACAAGTAGCATCTAGTCTGTTGGTCTACCTGTCTGAGGCTACTGAACTTCGATTTGGTTTCAGTTTCTGCTGAAGCCCAGTAGGCAAAGGTGTGTTCTGGGAACACTGGGGGAAACACAGTGATAGCACACAGTACCTCCTGTGAGGAGCTCGAGGAGGACCCTGCTCCTAATAGAACCTGTGGCATCTGTAAGTGGCACCATCAAGAGCAGGGAGTACCCTGCTACTGGTGCCTCAGCCTCTCCATTAGCTGGGATTCCTGTTGGGCACCAAAGCACCTGGCTTATTTTTGTACTTTTAGTAGAGGCGGGGTTTCACCATATTGGCCAGGCTGGTCTTGAACTTTTGAGGTCAAGTGATCTGCCCTTCTGGGCCTCCTAAAAGGCTGGAATTCCAGGTATGAGACATGGGCTCGCTCCACAGATTCTTTTTTAAGTAAAGGTTGTTAGAATTCATGCCTTGGTCCAGTATCCTATATAAATTTCTCTAAGCATTCATTGACCATGATATATGCTGAGATAAATTGGCATTGCCCCAATGCTCCTGGAAAGCAGTTATTGCAATTTTTGAAGACTTTGTGGAAAAATAGTTTTAATTATTTGCACTGTCTTAGGTCAGAGGATATGTGATAAAGATCGATGAGATCAGGGAGATTTTGTTTCACAGATCTGAAAAGCAGGCTCATTTACTTCTGAGATGACTTAATCTAGGGAACAGTAGAACATTCCTGTCAGAATATTACATTCTTACACTGAGAATATTTTACGTCCTTGCTCTATGACCTAACACTGATTTCGGTTGTTGTTTTTTTTTTTTGAGATGGAGTTTCGCTCTTGTTACCCAGGCTGGAGTGCAATGGCACGATCTTGGCTCACTACAACCTCCACCTCCTGGGTTCAGGCAATTCTCCTGCCTCAGCCTCCTGAGTAGCTGGGATTACAGGCACGCACCACCATGCCCAGCTAATTTTTTGTATTTTTAGTGAGATGTGGTTTCACCATGCTGACCAGGATGGTCTCGATCTCTTGACCTCATGATCCACCTGCCTCAGCCTCCCAAAGTGCTGGGATTACAGGCGTGAGCCACCACGCCCGGCACTGATTTGGTTTTGTGTGAAGTGTGATTTGCTTAATGTGACCTGCTCTTCTGAATTTGTTTACAGGAGATCGAATAGATCACGATGAAGAAGAGAAAGGCCGAGACAGCAAAAATAAACTTCTTATGAGTCAAGTGGCCTTCTACCTGGGCTGCCGGCTGAAGATGGAAGGTAAGTTCTCTGGGTTCACTGTCCCGAAACTGATGAACAATGCCCTGTCTTGTCTAGGAGAAATGATACATTCACTTCTTCAAAGTTTTATTTCATCCTTCCCATACTTCTAGGAGAATAGCAATGGGTATTTTAACATTTTATTAAAGATGGAAGACAGAGGCCAAAGCATTTAGCAACTTTTCCACGTCTGCAGTAAGGCGGGTGTGGGACTAGGGTTAGTATCCCAGCTATTGATTTCCGACACAGGCACAGAACCACCTGTTTTTCTCAGCAAGAAGTTAAATCATGTTTACAGGAATCCTCTCTGTACCATATAAAATCCTGCAGAACTCATAAGCAAGATAAAGGTAGAAGTGTTTATGTCCTGGCTTCAAGGTGACTGAATAGCTAAGACAAGTTGACTTTAAGGAGATCAAGAGTGGAGATGAGAAGAGTAAAAGCGGGGAAACAACATCTTCAAATCAATAGGCAGTGCTGTCAGTGCCATCCCTCAGTTCCGATTAAACCAATTGGAAGTCACCAGTTTCTAACGCATCGTGTGTTTGGGTTTCTTCTCCCCAGTCCCTGGCTTTCTGTGTTCTGCCCAAAACATCAGCAAGGTGGCATCTGGCAGGCCTCCTTCCAGAAGAAACGCTGAGTTGAACATTCCAGAAGGCATTGAGAAATCTTGGTCCCAGCAGGAAAATAAACCGAATATCAGAGGCAGCAAAAATAGACTTCTTATGAGTCAGGTGGACTACTCCCTGAACTATCGGCTGAAGACATGCAGTAAGTTCTATAGGTTGACCACCATGAAAGTTATGAATGATGTCCTGTCTTGTCTCGAGAAACTAACTGCTCTCTTCATCAAAATTAATTTCATCCTTCCCATTTTTGTAGAAAATAGCAATGGGTATTTTTAACATTTAGTTAAAATTGAAGACAGACGCCAAAATATTTAGCAACATTTCCACATCTGCAATAAGGTGGTGTGGGACTGTGGGACTGGGGTTAAAATCATAGCTATTGATTACTGACCCAGGCAGAGAACCACCTGTTTTTCTCAGCAAGAGGCTAAATCCATGTTTACAGGAATCCTCTCTGTACCGTGTAAGAATTTATAGACAAGTAGCATCTAGTCTGCTGGTCTAAATGTCTGAGGCTACTGAACTTCCATGCAGTTCCAGTTTCTGATAAAGGTCCAGTAGGCAAAGCTGTGTTCTGAGTACCCTGGGGGAAACACGGTGATAGCAGACAGTACCCACTGTAAGGAGCTTAAAGGGGACCCTGCTCCTAATAGAACCTATGCTTTCTGTAAGTGGCACCATCAAGAGCAGGGAGTACTGAGGTATTGGTGCCTCAGCCAGCCAATTAGCTGGGATCCTTGGTGGGCACCACCACATCTTGCCAATTTTTGTGTTTTATGTAGAGGCAAGTTTTCACCACATTGGCCAAGCTGGTCTTCAACTCCTGAGGTCAGGTGATCTGCATGCCTGGGCCTCCTAAGTTGCTTGGATTCAAGGTGTGAGCCACCATGCTGGCTTCACAGATTCTTTTTCAGTAAAGGTTGTTAAATTCATCCATCAGTCTGGTCTCCTATAAAAATTTCTCTAACCATTCATTGACCATGATATATGATGAGATAATTAGTATTGCAGCAACCCTTCTGGAGAGTAGTTAGGGAAATTTTTGAAGGTTTTGGGGGGAAAAGTTTTAATTGTTTGCACTGACTTAGATCAGAGGACACTTGATTAATATCTACTAGATGAGAGAGATTTTGTCCCATGGGTCTGCAAAGCAGGCTCATCTACTTCTCAGGTGACTTAATCTAGGGCTCGATAGAACATTCCAGTCAGAATATAACATTTATACACTGAGAATATTTTATGTCCTTGTGCTGTGACTGGACACTGATTTGGTGTTGTGTGAAGTGTGATGTGTTCAATGTGAGCTGCTCTTCTGAATTTGTTTACAGAAGATCGAAAAGATCGTGAAATACAGAAATACAGAGAAAGCAAAAATAAAGTTCTTATGAGGCAAGCAGCCTACTATCTGCACTGCCGGCTGAAGACCAAAGATAAGTTAGTTCTATAGGTTCACCATCATCATGAAAGTGCTGAACGATCTTCTGTCTTTTCTGTGAGAAACTGAACACTCTCTTCTTCAGAATTTATTGAACTTTTCCATACTTCTAGGCAAATATGAATGGGTACCTTAGCATTTTATTAAAAATGGATCTGTTGGTCCAGTCTCCTCTGTAAATTTCTCTAACCATTTGCTGACCATCACATATGATGAGATAAATCAGTATTGCTGCAATGTTGTCCCGCAGTCAAGTAGCCTCTAGTCTGTTGTTCTAAATGTCTGAGACTGCTGACCTTCCATTCAGTTCCAGTTTCTGCTGAGACCCAGTAGGCAAAGCAGTGTTCTGGTGACACTGGGGTAAACACAGTGATAACACACAGTACCCGCTGTGGGGAACTTAAAGGGGACTCTGTTCCTTAGACAACCTGTGGTATCGGTAAGTGTCACCATCAAGAGCAGGGAGTACCCTTGTATTCGTGACAGCCTGTTAACTGGGATCCCCAGAGGACACCATCACATGGCTAGTTTTTGTATTTTTAGTAGAGGTGGGTTTTCACCATTGTTGTCCAGGCTGGTCTTGACTTCGTGAGGTCAAGTGATCTCCCTTCCTGGGCCTCCTAAATTGCTCCAATTCCAGGCATGAGTCACTGTGCTGGCTCCACAGATTCTTTTTCATGTAAAGCTTGTTAGAATTAATCGGTCGGTCCATTCTCCTTTATAAATTTCTCTAACAATTTGTTGGCCATCATATATGACAAGATAAATCAGTATTACAGCAATGCTTCTGGAAAGTAGTTAGGGCAATTTTTGAAGATTTTAGGGACAAATTTTTTTTTTAATTTTTTATTGGATTTTAGGTTTTGGGGTACATGAGCAGAGCATGCAAGACAGTTGCGTAGGTACGCACATGGCAGTGTGCTTTGCTTTGCTTCTCCCCTTCACCCACATTTGGCATTTCTCCCCAGGCTATCCCTCCCCTCCTGCCCCTCCCGCTGGCCCTCCCCTTTTCCCCCCAATAGACCCCAGTGTTTAGTACTCCCCTTTCTGTGTCCACGTGTTCTCATTTTTCATCACCCGCCTATGAGTGAGAATATGGGGTGTTTCATTTTCTGTTCTTGTGTCAGTTTGCTGAGGATGACATTCTCCAGATTCATCCATGTCCCTACAAATGACACAAACTCATCATTTCTGATTGCTGCATAATATTCCATGGTGTATATGTGCCACATTTTTCCAATCCAGTCTATTATCAATGGGCATTTGGGTTGATTCCAGGTCTTTGCTATTGTAAACAGTGCTGCAGTGAACATTCGTGTACATGTGTCCTTATAGTAGAACGATTTATAGTCTTTTGGATATATACCCAGTAATGGGATTGCTGGGTCAAATGGAATTTCTATTTCTAAGGCCTTGAGGAATCGCCACACTGTCTTCCACAATGGTTGAACTAACTTACACTCCCACCAACAGTGTAAAAGTGTTCCTTTTTCTCCACATCCTCTCCAGCATCTGTTGTCTCCAGATTCTTTAATGATGCCATTCTAACTGGCGTGAGATGGTATCTCAGTGTGGTTTTGATTTGCATCTCTCTGATGACCAGTGACGATGAGCATTTTTTCATATGATTGTTGGCCTCATATATGTCTTCTTTCGTAAAGTGTCTGTTCATATCCTTTGCCCACTTTTGAATGGGCTTGTTTGTTTTTTTCCTGTAAATCCATTTGACTTCTTTGTAAATTCTGGATATCAGCCCTTTGTCAGATGGGTAAACTGCAAAAATTTTTTCCAATTCTGTTGGTTGCCGATCCACTCTAGTGACTGTTTCTTTTGCCGTGCAGAAGCTGTGGAGTTTCATTAGGTCCCATTTGTCTATTTTGGCTTTTGTTGCCAATGCTTTTGGTGTTTTGTTCATGAAGTCCTTGCCTACTCCTATGTCCTGGATAGTTTTGCCTAGATTTCCTTCTAGGGTTTTTATCCTGCCAGGTCTTATGTTTAAGTTTTTAATCCATCTGGAGTTAATTTTAGTGTAAGGTGTCAGGAAGGGGTCCAGTTTCTGCTTTCTGCACATGGCTAGCCAGTTTTCCCAACACCATTTGTTAAACAGGGAATCCTTTCCCCATTGCTGGTTTTTGTCAGGTTTAGCAAGGATTTTATAGTTGTAGATATGTTGTGTTGCCTCCGGTGCCTCTGTTTTGTTCCATTGGTCTATATCTCTGATTTGGTACCAGTACCACGCTGTTTTGATTACTGTAGCCTTGTAGTATAGTTTGAAATCCGGTAGTGTGATGCCCCCAACTGTGTTCTTTTTGCTTAGAATTGACTTGGCTATGCGGGCTGTCTTTTGGTTCCATATGAAGTTCATGGTGGTTTTTTTCCAGTTCTGTGAAGAAAGTCAATGGTAGCTTGATGGGGATAGCGTTGATTCTGTAAATTACTTTGGGCAGTATAGCCATTTTCACGATGTTAATTCTTCCTAACCATGAACATGGAATGTTTCTCCATCTGTTTGTGTCCTCTCTGATTTCGTTGAGCAGTGGTTTGTAGTTCTCCTGGAGGAGGTCCCTTACGTTCCTTGTGAGTTGTATTCCTAGGTATTTTATTCTTTTTGTAGTAATTGTGAATGGCAGTTCGTTCTTGATTTGGCTTTCTTTAAGTCTGTTATTGGTGTAGAATGCTTGTGATTTTTGCACATTGATTTTATATCCTGAGACTTTGCTGAAGTTGCTTATCAGTTTCAGGAGTTTTTGGGCTGAGGCGATGGCGTCTACTAGGTATACTATCATGTGGTCTGCAAATAGAAACAATTTGGCTTCCACCTTTCCTGTTTGAATACCCTTTATTTCTTTTTCTTGCCTGATTGCTCTGGCTAGAACTTTCAGTACTATATTGAATAGGAGTGGTGAAAGAGGGCATCCTTGTCTAGTGCCAGATTTCAAAGAGAATGCTTCCAGTTTTTGCCCATTCAGTATGATATTGGCTGTTGGTTTGTCATAAATAGCTTTTATTACTTTGAGATACGTTCCATCGATACCGAGTTTATTGTGGGTTTTTAGCATAAAGGGCTGTTGAATTTTGTCAAATGCCTTCTCTGCGTCAATTGAGATAATCATGTGGTTTTTGTTTTTGGTTCTGTTTATGTGGTGAATTACGTTTATAGACTTGTGTATGTTGAACCAGCCTTGCATCCCCGGGATGAATCCTACTTGATCATGGTGAATAAGTTTTTTGATTTGCTGTTGCAATCGGCTTGCCAATATTTTATTGAAGATATTTGCATCTATATTCATCATGGATATTGGCCTGAAGTTTTCTTTTCTTGTTGGGTTTCTACCGGGTTTTGGTATCAGAATGATGTTGGTCTCGTAAAATGATTTGGGAAGGGTTCCCTCATTTTGTGTTGTTTGAAATAGTTTTAGAAGGAATGGTACCAGCTCCTCTTTGTGTGTCTGGTAGAATTCGGCTGTGAATCCGTCTGGACCTGGGCTTTTTTTGAGTGGTAGGCTCTTAATTGCTGCCTTGACTTCTGCCCATGTTACTGGTCTATTGATAGTTTCAGCTTCCTCCTGGTGTAGGCTTGGGAGGACACAGGGGTCCAGGAATGTATCCATTTCTTCTAGGTTTACTAGTTTATGTGCATAGAGTTGTTTATAATATTCTCTGATGATGGTTTGAATTTCTGTGGAGTCTGTGGTGATTTCCCCTTTATCATTTTTTATTGCATCTATTTGGTTGTTCTCTCTTTTCTTTTTAATCAATCTGGCTAGTGGTCTGTCTATTTTGTTGATCTTTTCAAAAAACCAGCTCTTGGATTTATTGATTATTTGGAGGGTTTTTCGTGTCTCAATCTCCTTCAGTTCAGCTCTGATCTTAGTTATTTCTTGTTTTCTGCTGGGTTTTGAGTTTTTTTGATCTTGCTCCTCTAGCTCTTTCAATTTTGACGATAGGGTGTCAATTTGGGATCTCTTCATTCTCCTCATATGGGCACTTATTGCTATATACTTTCCTCTAGAGACTGCTTTAAATGTGTCCCAGAGATTCTGGCATGTTGTGTCTTCGTTCTCATTGGTTTCGAAGAACTTCTTTATTTCTGTCTTCATTTCATTGTTTACCCAGTCAACATTCAAGAGCCAGTGGTTCAGCTTCCATGAAGCTGTGTGGTTCTGGGTCGGTTTCTGTATTCTGAGTTCTAACTTGATTGCACTATGGTCTGAGAGGCTGTTTGTTATGATTTCAGTTGTTTTGCATTTGTTGAGCAGTGCTTTACTTCCAATTATGTGGTCAATTTTAGAGTATGTGTGATGTGGTGCTGAGAAGAATGTGTATTCTGTGGATTTGGGGTGGAGAGTTCTGTAAATGTCTATCAGGTTTGCTTGCTCCAGGTCTGAGTTCAAGCCCTGGATATCCTTGTTGATTTTTTGTCTGGTTGATCTGTCTAATATTGACAGTGGAGTGTTAAAGTCTCCCACTATTATTGTGTGGGAGTCTAAGTCTCTTTGCAAGTCATTAAGAACTTGCCTTATGTATCTGGGTGCTCCTGCATTGGGTCCATATATGTTCAGGATTGTTAGCTCTTCTTGTTGTATCGATCCTTTTACCATTATGTAATGGCCTTCTTTGTCTCTTTTGATCTTTGTTGCTTTAAAGTCTATTTTATCAGAGATGAGAATTGCAACTCCTGCTTTTTTTTGCTCTCCATTTGCTTGGTAAATCTCCCTCCATTGCTTTATTTTGAGCCTTTGTGTATCCTTGCATGTGAGATGGGTTTCCTGGATACAGCACACTGATGGGTTTTGGATTTTTATCCAATTTGCCAGTCTGTGTCTTTTGATTGGTGCATTTAGTCCATTTATATTTAGGGTTAATATTGTTATGTGTGAATTTGATACTGCCATTTTGATGCTAACTGGCTGTTTTGCCTGTTAGTTGTTGTAGATTCTTCATTATGTTGATGCTTTTTAGCATTTAGTGTGATTTTGGAATGGCTGGTACTGGTTGTTCCTTTCTATGTGTAGTGCCTCTTTTAGGAGCTCTTATAAAGCAGGCCTGGTGGTGACAAAATCTCTGAGTACTTGCTTGTTCGCAAAGGATTTTATTTTTCCTTCACTTCTGAAGCTCAGTTCGGCTGGATATGAAATTCTGGGTGGAAAGTTCTTTTCTTTAAGAATGTTGAATATTGGCCCCCACTCTCTTCTGGCTTGTAGTGTTTCTGCCGAGAGATCTGCTGTGAGTCTGATGGCTTCCCTTTGTGGGTGACCCGACCTTTCTCTCTGGCTGCCTTTAGTATTTTCTCCTTTATTTCAACCTTGTTGAATCTGACGATTATGTGCCTTGGGGTTGCTCTTCTTGCGGAATATCTTTGTGGTGTTCTCTGTATTTCTTTTATTTGAGTGTTGGCCTGTCTTGCTAGGTGGGGGAAATTTTCCTGGATGATGTCCTGAATCATATTTTCCAGCTTGGATTCATTCTCTTCTTCCTCTTCTTGTACACCTATCAAACGTAGGTTAGGTCTTTTCACATAGTCCCACATTTCTTGGAGACTTTGTTCATTCCTTTTTGCGCTTTTTTCTCTAATCTTGGTTTCTTGTTCTATTTCATTGAGCTGGTCTTCGACTTCAGATATTCTTTCTTCTGCTTGGTCAATTCGGCTATTGAAACTTGTGTATGCTTTGCGAAGTTCTCGTATTGCGTTTTTCATCTTTTTTAATTCATTCATATTCCTCTCTGAGTTATCCATTCTTGTTATCATTTCCTCCTATCTTTTTTCCAGTTTCTTAGTTTCTTTGCATTGATTTAATACATGTTCTTTTAGCTCACAAAAGTTTCTCACTATCCACCTTCTGAAGTCTAATTCCATCATTTCATCACGGTTATACTCCATCCAGCTTTGTTTCCTTGCTGGTGAGGAGTTTTGGTCCTTTCTAGGAGGCGAAGTGTTCTGGTTTCGGGTGTTTTCCTCCTTTTTTCGCTGGTTTCTTCCCATCTTTGTGGATTTATTCGCTTGTTGTCTGCGTAGTTGCTGACCTTTAGATTGGGTCTCTGAGTGGACACCCAGATTGTTGATGATGAAGTATTTCTGTTACTTGGTTTTCCTTCTACCAGTCTAGCCCCTTTGCTGTATGACTGCTGAGGTCCACTCCAGGCCCTGCTTGTCTGGGGTGCACCTCTAGCAGCTGTGGCACAGTGAGGGATGCTACCAGTTTCTTTTTCTGCTATCTTTGTCCCAGAATGATGCCTGCCAAATGTCAGTCTTTTGGATATAGAGGGGTCAGGGAGCTGCTTGAGGAGACAGTCTGTACTTTATAGGAGCTCAATTGCTGAGCTGTGAACTCTGTTGTTCGTTCAGGGCTGTTAGGCTGCTATGTTTGATTCTGCTGCAACAGAGCTCATTAAAGAAACCCTTTTTTTCTCATATGCTCTGTGTTGGGGGGTTCGGGCTTTATTTTTGGATGTTCGTTGAGGTGTCCTGCCCAGGTAGGAGGCAGACTAGCCACTGTTTGCCTGCCGAGGCTCCGCCCTGCTGTTGTGAGGCTCGCCCTGTTAGGGCAGGCTCTGCTGTTCTGCTGTGATCTCCGCCACGCCCTGAGGCAGAGTCTCTCTGTTGTAGCGGGTTGCCTCGGCAACGGAAGGCTGCGTCAGCAGTGGGCGTGTATCTCAGTAGGGACGGGTTGCCTCGGCAATGGCTGGCTGTCTCAGCAGTGGGCGTGTATCTCAGTTGGGGCGGGTTGCCTCGGTAGTGGTGGACACCCCTCCCCCACAGAGCGTCTCAGACCGACTACATGGGGATCGCTTGAAATCACGGTCTTGTTCGTCCCACTGGGCTAGCCCAAATGCTCTGTCCCTGCAATCCCCTGGGGGACCCACTGTCCAACTCTCGCTCAGTCTCAAGTCCAGCCCTCTCAAGTCTTAGATTGCCAGCTCAACAGGGCACCCGGACAAGCACGCCCTGTGGGGAGTGATGGGCAAGGCCGGCCGCCACCACCCCGGCTGCTGGCTTCACCAGGCAGAGGCACTGCCAGGCGTCCAGTGTCTCCCCTATACTTGGGAATCTCCCTGTTCCGTGGGCAACAAAGATCAGTCTGGAAATGCAGCTCTGACTCACCTCTCCACGGACTCAAAGAGAACTCCAATCCTGGGTTCTCACAGCGCCATCTTGAGTCCGCTCTCCGGGACAAAGTTTTGTTTCTGCTGACTTAGGTGAGAGGATAAGTGATTAAGATCTAGCAGATAAGGGAGATTTTGTCCCATGGATCTCAAAATCAGGCTCATCTACTTCTAGGGTGACCTAATCTAGGGACCAGTAGAAATTCCCTTCAGAATATCACATCCTGAAACGGAGAACATTTTTCATTCTTGTTCTATGACTAGACACTGATTTAGTTTTGTGTGAAGTGCGATTTGCTTAATGTGACCTGCTCTTCTGGATTTGTTTACAGAAGATCGGAGACGTCACGAGGAGGAACAGAAATACAGAGACAGCAAAAATAAACTTCTTATGAGTCAAGACTACCCAGGCTGCAGGCTGAAGATGGAGAGTAAGTTTCATAGGTTAACCATCACCGAAGTTCTGAACGATGTTTTATGTTTTCTCTGAAAAACCAAAGGCTCTGTTCATCAGAATTAATTTCATTTTTACCATACATCTAGGAAAATATAAATGGGTATTTTAACATTTTGTTAAAGGTGGACGAGAGGCCAAAGTTATGTAGCAACTTTTCCACATCTGCAGTAAGGCGGGTGTGGGACTGAGGGTAAAGTCTCAGCTGTTGATTTCTGACACAGGCACAGAACCACCCATTTTTCTCAGGAAGAGGCTAAATCATGTTCACAGGAATCCTCTCTGTACCACCTAAGATCCCGCAGAGAAGTAGCATCTAGTCTGTTGTTCTAAATGTCTGAGGCTGCTGAACTTCATTCGGTTCCGGTTTCTGCTGAGGCTCAGTAGGGAAAGTTCTGTTCTGGGGGACATGCGATGGTAGAACACTATACCCACTACAGGGAGCTTAAAGAGGACTCTGCTCCTTACATGCCCTGTGGTATCTGTAAGTGGCATCATCAAGAGCAGAGATTACTCTGGTCAGAGGGACGTCCTGCTCTCTTTGCAGAGGCTCTCGTTGGTAAAGAGGAAGAACGACGGCACCCACGACTCTGTGAAGGCAGCAGTGCATAGAGGAGGGACCCTGGGCCAGTCTCCTGAGCTCCATCCAAGTTGCTTCTTTTGTTTGTTACTCAGTTTTGTCATCTGTTCGTAGGATACTATAATAATGCCTACCTCTGTCAATTGCTGCACTGAATTAGATGGCCTATTTATTGTAACTCTCCCAGGACAGTTGTTGGCACAGAGTAAACAGTCTATTAGTTTTTCTTATTTTGAGATGGAGTTTTGCTGTTGTTACCCAGACTGGAGTGCAATGGCGCGATCTCGGCTCACCGCAACCTCCGCCTTCTGGGTTCAAGCAATTCTCCTGCCTCAGCCTCCTGAACAGCTGGGACTACAGGTGCGCACCACCATGCCCAGCTAATTTTTGTATTTTTAGTAGAGACGGGGTTTCACCTTGTTGACCAGGATGGTCTCGATCTCTTGACCTCGTGATCCACCCGCCTTGGCCTCCCGAAGTGCTGGGATTATAGGCGTGAGCCACCACACTGGGCCAACACTGTCTGTTAGTTCTTCATTCTACTGTGTCTAGCATAAGGGAAACTTTATTAGTCTGTGCATATTTGTTTTATGGCCTTATGAGAGGCTCCAGACCTCCTTAATTCCACAATGATGGTTTTATCAATGGTGTTTTATTCCACGAAACATATGTGGCCATGACATGACTAGGACTTTCTGAATGAGAACACAGATGGGAAACCCATGGAGTTGGAGGTCACCGTATTGCAAATGTCTCTCCTTCCGTGATGGATTGTGGTCTTTGGAACAGGAGGCAGCATCTGTTCAGTTGTAAAGGACAGGAAGGAAGCTGTGGCAGGAGGGAAGTTGTTGGAGAGGAAAGAGCTCTGGACTAAGAATGAAGGTCCCCAAGCTGTATCTTCAGCAGTGTTCTTAGGAACTGTCAGGGAGCAATTGATTTCTTCTTCCTGACTTTCTCTGTCTCCATCTGCAAAGGCAGGTAAATTTCTCTCTCTCCATCTGCCAAGGCAGACATCTTGCAGTGTCTGAAGCATTCAAATGTGTGAGCACTTATGACCGCTTATCACAATGAGATAAAGCCCCACGTTGTGTGGTGTTGGAGAAAGCACTTGATGTGTGGGCATTTGGTGGTAGGAAGTGGTTCAGATTGGAGCATTCCCCATGGAGAGAATGTCCCTGAATAACATAGCAGAAGCCACTTGGCGGGCCTGTGAAGTCACCTGATGTGCAGAGGATTGTGGGACAAGTTTGTTTATCCTCTCCTAAGAGAAAGAAATAGGTTGTAAATATGAGATGTGACGGGACGCCAAGCCTGTCCCTGGGAATCAGATCTGTGTCACGATGGTGGAGACAGCTTCCAAAGTCCAGAGAGAGGCTGCAAAAGCCTCCAGTGATGTGGGAGCAGAATGTCTTTTCAACATTTGGCCTCATCTTGACGGTGAGCCTCCTGATCCAAAATGCATTGCCTGGTGGATCAGGAAAGCATGCCAGGGCATTTTGTTAGAGAGAAAACATGAGAGCTTTCAGTAGAACAGAGACCCATACAAAGATGTTCATGTCCCTGTGCACATTGGGCTGACTGTCCCTGCAGAGTGTGAAATGGGAAATAACTGAACGAACACATCTGTACTTGCAGAAAACGACAAAGATGAGGATGAAGATGTTCATGTCACGGAGGCTGAGAACATCCAGGAATCACGTGCCTCCAGGTAACACTGAAGAAGTAGGAGCAAGTAATGGGTGGTAAAGTATGGAAAAGGTCTAGAAGCACACCCTTTCTGGCATCTCCCATGGTCCAAAACCTGCCTTCCCTTGTCCACAATATGTTCAATTCAACCCAACTTAGACACAGGGTGTGGCAGCTGTTGTGGTTCTTTGTATGTGCTGAGTGCCATGTCTGAATTATACAGGGATAACTGAGTCTTTTTTCTTCTCGGCTCCTTTGTGCCCAGTGTAAGGAATACCAGCTGCTGTCTTTCTCTCTGGTTCCCATGGCAGCCATGCTGTGTTGCAGAGAGGACAATGTTGTGGGTGATTTGTGGCACGTGTATAGATTTTAATTTCTGACTCCTTCCAAGATGGGAACCTGCAATCAGATGAGCCAGGTGAACTCAGCAAACAGGGATTTTCTGGTTTCGCCTGTTCTCCCCACTGTGTTTAAACCCAGGGAGAGACACATATCTGCTTTCTGCCCATTTGTTGTGAGTGTGTTTGCTAGGATTTGTGAAGAGAAGAAATTCACAACATAGACATATTATATCAAAATACTGGAAAAAGTAGGCCCTTAATACACCAGATCTAGGTGTCTGAAGTGCCTCAAGAGCTGTGTCCACTTGAATGCCACATGTAAAATTCAACACAACTTACGCGAGGTGGTTGAAGCCCCATGTTAGTTCTCGTGCTGCAAGTCATGATGAGAGTTTACAGGGAGAGTCTGGGTGGCCTGCAGTGGCTCATCTGTGGCACATGCACTGAGCACATGCTGCTCATTTGTGCTCTGTCCCCAGGGTAGTCACCCTCCTCCCTGCATTTAGAAGGGATAGTTTTTTTTTTCTTTTGAAGGAGAAATGCCTTTGCTTTCTGTGACCACTCCATTCTGACTTCTATCAGATCAGCTGGGAGACTTTGTTGTCTAATCCGTGTTGGTTTAATCTTCTGTCATTCCTGTCCTGCATGGCTCATCAGGAATCTGCAGGAGTCTGTGGAGGAGGAAGCCCCCGAGGAGTCCTGGGATGAAGATGATTCGACTCTCTCAATTCCTCCTGGCACATTTGCCTTCAATGAGCCTAACAGGACCAACTTGCACTCATTAGAGGAACAGCAGGTCAACTTGGCTCATGATGTAGATAGTGAGTACTCTGTTTTGAAAGTGGTAAAGCTCCACTTTGTGTCCCAGATAGACCCCATAGTCTTTGTGCATTGCTCCCCTGGCTGCGCTGAGAGTTGTCATCACTGTGGGCTGAGCCTATCCATCAGTGCAGATTTCAGTCACTCTGGATTCCAGTCTGAAGCACAGGCATGGGGAGGGTCAGTGAGCTTTGCTCTCTCTCTAGTCTCAGTTTATGCTCATGGCACCCTGGACCAACTGTCAGGACATTGAAACCCAAGGTGGGTGTTGCAAACTCACACCAAGCTATGCAGCACATGCCCACGAGTTGTCTGTGAATCTGAATTAAATGTCTCTTGCTGGCTACCAAGTTCCTCATGAGTTTTGTTTTCCAAGCATGTCTGTGAGGTTCTTTCCTGCTTGTACAATCTTGGCATAACTGTTTGTACAAACTTGGGATAAACGTTCCTACCAGAATAGGGACGTTTCACCATTGGTTCTGAGATACAAACCAAGGAATCTATCATGATTGTACTTGAGACCTCCTGAAGTCTCTCTCTCATGTTATCCTGTTGTCAAGCTGAGGAGTCTGAGGTCCCTGTGCAGGGATTAGACAGTGAACTGTTATGGGTGTAGTGCAATGGCTAACTTTGTTCCTATCTGAATTTATTGCAGAGATTAAAAAGGACCAAGAAGAGGAAGAAGACCAAGGCCCACTGTGCCCCAGGTAACTTTGAGCAACAGTGAACAGCTAATTTTGTGTTGACACCTGGAGACGCCAGGTCCAGGTAAAACAGAGTGGGCTGACAATATCGATACTATCTTTTCATTGAAGCCTGAAGTATTCCTCCAAATGTCGCTGTTGGTTTTCATTGCAGTAGATACTTAGGCTTCCGTTTCTTCCTCCCCTTCCCATTTTCTAACTGCTGTAGGTTGACCATACTTGTTTTTATGATCAGTGTACGCTGTGTGTCCTGAGGGTACTGACTCAGAATGTCCTTTTACTCCCTCATCAGTGTGTCACCTGGACGGTTCACTGAGCTTACTTTCTCTCTCTTTCTCTCTCTCTCTCTCTCTCTCTCTCTTTCTTTCTCTTTCATTCTTTTCTACCGTACTCTTGTCCATCCCAGCATAAGGCAATAGTTTGTTATGTCATTAGTGGATCTATGTGTTTTCTTTATCAACCATTTACTTGTGCTACCCATGAAATCTAGTTGCAGCTCTTCGGTGTCTTATTTTCCCTGACTTATTCTTCGGTTTTTCCTCCTTTTTTAGGCTCAGCATGGAGCTGGTGGAAGCAGAAGAGCCTGAAGTCTTCTGGTACTCACTGGATATATTGTATTCAACATATACAGCTCATCTTGAGTTTTATTACACATGCCAGGCTTACACATATGCCATTTTTTATATGCAGAAGAGCATGTTCGCTTGACTTTGGACATGGACAGTAGATTTCTTACTCTGACGGTGATAGGACTCCACCTGATCTCCCAGGTAGGGGTCATATTCCCACACTAAGACAACGTGTCACATGGGACTCTGCCGGTGCAGAGTGTGAGCAATGCCATGTTCTTGCTGAAAATGCTTAGCCTGAGGTAATCTCCAGACAACTTCCAATGTAGAACAGTGAGCGGCACAACTGACCTGTCTCCTTCAGACAGCCCAGGTCACCACAAATCACACAACTGAAAGGAGAAGAGATGCTTTGGGTTGAAAAAGAGTAAAAAGAGAATGTAGCTACATTTCTTTAGTTCTTTTGAACCCAAAGTGTCTCCTCACCTTTTTGTTGTTGTCATTGATGGTGGGGAAATGGGCTTGTTTGTAGAGGATAGGTCAGCTCTCCGGCTCAATGGTCTGTACTCTGAAGTTGTCTGAAAATGTCCTCATGCTTAAATTCAGCCTAAGTGTTTTTCCGGGAACACTGCAGTGTCATTGCTACATCACCCATCTGCAGGTAGAGAAGGTTCCATGTGTCTACCACCATGATCGTGATACCAGCACTGTTCCACCATTTGTCTATCACCATGATCGTGATGCCAGATCTGTACCTTTCAGAGACACCTTATTTATGCGGATATATATATTCAGAGACACCTTAATTATACGGATATATATATTCAGAGATACCTTATTTATACAGATATATATATATATATATATATATATATATATATATGGAAGTAATTGGAAAAATGGTTTTTAAAAGTATTAATATCCTGTATTCAAATGATCATCCCTCAACATTTTATTATTCATTAATCATCCCTGGCTGTGTCAATTATTGTATTTGCATCTCTACACTGGAAATTTTATATTTTTACTGTATCTTTGCTTTTGCTGGTTTCTGTTGTTGAACCAAAAAAAATTCCCTGCCTGCATTTCAATTTTTGCCAAAGTTAATTTTAATCTATACAATGAAAATTTTTTTCTTTAAGATAAGACTGTCAGTGCATAAGGCCACAGCAAAACAGAGCCTTTGTTTGCTAATTTTTAAGCCTTTGTTAATTTCTGGCTGACGAGAGAGGTAGTTTATTTAATTAGCTGCTAATATCTATTCAAGTGAGCAGCCAGATAAATGTCTATCAGACTAAGGATGTGCAAAGCCCAGGTCATTTTCTTTGAGTCTTTTAAACTATTTCAGAAGAGAAGGGAATAGGCAGATTCCTTTAGAGAATACACTAAAAGACACAACCGTTTTTCAGAACAGAATAGAAAATCCATTAAAATGCACGAAATATTTTCTCATGAAATGTAATCTCTCTAAACTTAGCCATTATATGAAAGTCAATTCTTAATATACCACACTACATTGACTGTTGACGTTCATAAGAATTCATTTTCATGTTTGTTATTTGAAAAAGCAAAAGGACTGTAATCCTTTCTTTTCTTTGCCATGATCATTTTAAGATTGACGATTTTTTTTTCAAAATAAAATTAAAGATTTTAAAGATTGAAAATTGACATTAAAATTTATCTTCTCAAAGCAATGATGTGTAACTCAGGCTGTCTTATTCCTGTTTGTAGTGTAAGTGTCAAGTGCTCATTTAACCATTCTTTAAATGTTTCAAATTACTGGGAACAAGCCACGTTCCAGGGTGGTTTGTTTCTTTTGTTTCCGTTTTTTTTTTTTTGTTTTGTTTTGTTTCCTTTATTTATTTTACTTTAAGTTCTGGGTTACATGTACAGATCTTGCAAGATTGTTACACAGGTATAAGCATGTTATTTTGGTTTGCTGCCTCCCCCCTGTCCCACGTCACCTACATTAGGTATTTCTCCTAATGCTATCCCTCCCCAATCTCCCCACCCCCTGCTATCCCTCCTCTAGCTCCCCCACTGCCTGACAGGCCCCAGTGTGTGATGTTTTCCTCTCTGTGTCCGTGTGTTCTCATTGTTCAACACCCACTTATGAGTGAGAACATGGCGGTGTTTCCTTTTCTGTTCCTGTGTCAGAATGATGGTTTCCAGTTTCATCCATGTTCCTTTAAAGGACATGAACTCGTCGTTTTTTGATGGCTGCATAGTATTCCATGGTGTATATGTGCCACATTTTCTGTATCCAGTGTATCTTTGGTGGGCATTTGGTTTGGTTCCAAGTCTTTGCTATTGTAAGCAGTGCTGCAGCAAACATAGGTGTGCATGTGTCTTTATAATACAATGTTTTGGCCAGGCACAGTGGCTCAAGCCTGTAATCCCAGCACTTTGTGAGGCCGAGGTGGGTGGATCATGAGGTCAACAGATCGAGACAATCCTGGTCAACATGGTGAAACCCCAGCTCTACTAAAAATACAAAAAAATTACCTGGGCATGGTGGCGCGTGCCTGTAATCCCAGCTACTCAGGAGGCTGAGGCAGGAGAATTGCCTGAACCCAGTAGGCAGAGGTTGCGGTGAGTGGAGATCACGCCATTGCACTCCAACCTGTGTAACAAGAGTGAAACTCCGTCTCAAATACATATTTCAATGTTTTATAATCATGTGGGTATGTACCCAATCATGGGATTGCTGGGTCAAATGGTATTTCTATTTCTAGATCCTTGAGGCGTCGCCACACTGTCTTCCACAATGTGCCTGAATATTAGATCTTTCTTTAGGTTTAGAAAGTTTTCTGTTATTATTTTTTTGAAGAAGCTTTCTCCTCTGTGCTCCTTCTCAACCCCCTATTTAAGGCCAGTGAATCTTCGATTTTCTCTTTTGAAGCCCTCTTCTAGATCTCTTAAGCATTCTGTGTTCCTTCTCATTATTCTTTTCTTTTTTCTCCTCTGATTGTATTTGAAATAGTTTGTTTTCATGCTCATTAATTCTTCTGCTTAATCAATTCTCCTGAGACTCACTAAGGCATTTTCCAGCTCCAGGATTTGTTTGCTATTTTCTATTATGTCAGTATCCTTGTTAAATTTTTCTGATATAAGTTTGAATTGTTTCTCTTTTCTTGAAGTTCATTGAGCTTTCTCAAAATAGTTACTCTAAGTTACCTGAGAAGTTATGTGTTTCCATCACCCCAGGGTTGGTCAGTGGTGGCTCATCTGGTCTATTTGCTGGGTCATATTGACTTCAGTGTTCTTGATACTGTTGATATTTGTCAATGTCTGGGCATTGAAGGATAAGGTATTTATTCCAGCCTTTGCAGTCAGGTCTTGTTTGTACCTGTCCTTCAAAGGGCCTTCCAGGGATTCAAAGTGGGCTGACCAGTTCCCTATGCCAGTGGTCACTAGAGCCATTTTTGTTCTAGAGGGCACCTAGGCCCAGGTACACTGCAGTGTTTACAGATGCCCAGGTCCCCAGCACTCTTGGACTTGGGGGAAGATCAGTGATTGTTCTGTGGGTTCCCAGGTAAAGGCTCTGGCTTACTTCCTCTATTTTCCCCATGCAAAAGGAATCTCTCTGTAGGCTACACTGCCTGGAGTATGGGGAGGGGTGATGCATCATTCCCATAGCTGCTGCAGCTGCTGCTCTCATACTGGCTGTGACCTCAAGTCCAGCGTCTTCCAGACCTAAGCAACATCAGGTTTTGCCCAAGGAGTGCTCTGGTCACTGCAGCCTGCCTGCCCCTGACATTTATTTGAAGCCCAATTACTTTCCAGTGATAAAGCTGAGCAGAACTTTGGTGGGCTCTTCCTCCTGGGGCAGCTGATTCCCTTTGGCCCAGGGTGAGTCTAAATGCTTCTGTGGACATCAGCCTGGAATCAAGTGCTGTTGGGTTCTGTTCAGGGTAGTGTTTCACTATGGCCAGACTGATACTGAGTTTGAATATAAAATCTTACACTTTCCCCCTTGTCTCCAAAAGAACTTTTCCAAAAAGCATTTTAAAGGTTTTATGTCAATGTTGATGGAATGACATACTCTTTGACTCAAGGGTCTTAAATGGATTTTTAGTTTTGATGCAGTGTGACAGAACACTGTTTTTAAAGTCTGATCTACAGCCCTCATTTACTAAAATTGTCTGTGGTGCTTATAGTATAAAAAGGCAGACTCTGGGGCCCACACCAAGTACATCTCCTTGGGTTGGAGACCAGTATGTAGCTCCTATAGTCTCCACCGCTGTTTCTAAGGTACACCAAGTTCAAGAAACATTCTTTCATATTTTCAGACTAGGGATTCTCACAAAATGACAAAGCGGAAAAACCTTAACCTTTTAAAGTTAGAGTTCAAGCATTAGACTGCACTTCTTAAACACAGTTTATCTTTCCCATTTTCTCTTTCTAGTTCTGTGTACTGTCAAGGCATTGGTGCAGAAATAGGAAACAAAGCAGTGAAAGAAGAACCATGTATTTGTTTATATCTGTTTTGCTTTAGTAATCACCAAAAAGACTTTTGTTGTCTCTCTCCCACCCTGTCCACCAGTTATATTGGCCTTCAACACATGGCAATAGCAACATTTATACATCTATATCATGCATTTATACACAGAGACATGCTGTGTCAGCACTGTGAAGACAGAGACTGGGCTTTACTATCTCTGGGGGCCTCTCCCATGCCACTTAAAAATGGGCGCAGGTTTGCTCTGTGCAACAATTTCAGCAGAATTGATCTTGCTATCAGTCTCCAGTTTCTCCAAGGTGAGATAGGATGACAAAATGGGACAGTGTATTTTAAGTGAGGTCAGTCCAATTTGGATATCATAGAAGAAAAGAAATAGGATGTGCTAGCTTAAGCCTGAGATGGTATCTGGGGAGTCACCACATTCCTGATGTGAACTCAAAGAAAACAGACGCTGCAGTGCAGACCAAAGCCCAGCCCGACTCGACCCAATAGGATCAGGTGTGGATCTGTGAGTAGTGCCCAGAGTCCCCGCCAGTACTGTCCAGCAGGGCACCGCTGCTCAGTATTGTGCTTTTAGAACCTGCCAGAGGAGCTCCAGCATTGGGACCACATGCCTCATTCATCAGAATCGGGGTCCTCTATCCACTGAGTTTTCCATCTCAGGCAGCTGATGAGGCAAGAAGTGTGCTGTTGCCAGTTCCCACACCGCTGGGGCTGTTGAGAAGCAGTATCACAAAACCGTCTATGCAAACTACACATTCTTTGCTTCATGCTGGGCCTAGTGGGCCTTGGCTAAGTGTATTCCATAGCTGTCAGAAAGGCCTTCTGCCTTTCTTCCCGCTCCACCAGGACACGCCTCTGACTCCCTCTTTTGTACCCTCCAGTGGACTTGGAGGAATGAGACCCAGATGCTTCTCAGCAGATAGGTGACCTTCTCTGAGAAATGGAGAGCTTGGACAGGCTCACCACAGGCCACAGTGTCCCACCTGACTTCCCTCCCCACCTCAACCTGGGCTTCTAATAATAAGCCCAGGTTTTCTTTGCAGAGAGGAATGGTCATTTGTGCCCCTCTGAACTTTCTGCCAGCAAATTGAGCCAACAAAGATGTGTTTTTTAGGGGGCTACAGGGGTGATGGGGAGTGGGGGTAGGTGCCTACTTCAACCACAGCTGCAAAGCCAGGCTTCCCAGGGGCTGGGGTAGGGGACACAGGGGATAGATTTTGGGTCTTCTTGCTGGGGAAAGAGCTCAGGCAGGTGTGAAAAGTCACCCAGCCACACCCCTTCTTCTATGGATCTAGAAGGCATTTCTGGGCTCTGTTGCCATTTTTATTTGAGATTCTCGGTAGGACTTGGGACTTCCTCAGTGAAGACTCTGGGAGGGCCCTAGGATCTAGCTGCTAGGATGGGGCTCCCTGCTTCACCCCTACTTTCTTTCTTGGATGATCCATGGCCTTATTGTATTAGAATTCTCCAGAGAAAAAGAACCAATAGGAGATTTATAGATGCTAGAGAAAGAGATTTATTAGAAGGAATTGGCTTATGTGACGATGGAAGTTGAGAAGCCCCAAGATCTACAGGCAGCAAGCTGGAGACCCAGGAGAGTTGACAGTATAGTTGCTGTTGGAGACTGAAGGCCTGAGGGCCAGAAGGGACGATGGTGTAAGTTCTATTCTGAAAGTTGGCAGGCTGAAGACCCAAGAACAGCAAGTATTTCAGCTCGAGTCCAAAGGCCAGAAAAGACCAGTGTCAGCTGGGCACGGTGGCTCCCACCTGTAATCCCAGCACTTTGGGAGGCCGAGCTGGGTGATTCATATAGTCAGTAGTTCGAGACCAGCCTGGCCAATATAATGAAATCCCGTCTCTACTAAAAATACAAAAAAATTAGCTGAGTGTGGTGCTGTGCACCTGTAGTTCCAGCTGCTCGGGAAGCTGAGGCAGGAGAATTGCTTGAACCTGGGAGGTAGCATTGCAGTGAGCCAAGATTGCACTGCTGCACTCCACCCTGGGCAACAGACCAAGGCTCCACCTCAAAAAAGAAAGAGAGAGAAAGAGGAAAAATAAGAAAAGAAAAGACCAATGTCCAAGCTCGAGCAGTCAGCAAAAAGAATTCCCTTTTACTCAGCCTTTTTGTTCTATTCAGATCTTCAACTGATTGGTTGAGGCCCACCCTCATTAGTGAGCACCATCTGCCTTACTCTGTGTACTGATGCAAATCTTAGCCGGAGGCTG